GTCTAGAAGAACACCAACTTCAGCACAGCAACTCGAGGAATGCTCCATGTACCCCTAATTGTCTCGAGATGAGAGCTGATTCCCTGGCTTAGGCCCAAGACGTATGCCAATTTTCCAGAAACATCGAAAGAGGAGGCTTCTTTCAACAATAGTTATGTGGGAGAGACCCCGAGTTTGCTGCCTCAAATGGAATATACAGCGAGAAGCCCTAACTTGAAAGGAGGCCGGATTTCCTTGCAGTGGCGTGAATACAGGCTCGTCTATCATCTCACAACATAAAGGGATGTCTGAATCCCCTGTCGAGACGTTAGAGAAAGATCTAGGTCCCTGCCTCATTTTGACGGAATGCCTCACCTCCCTTTGACATATCGAGAGGAACCCGGAGATCACTACTTCAAAGAGTGACGATGCAAGACTCCTCTTGAACATTGTTAGGAATCCCAGAATACATGTAACTATTGGAAAGGGACCTTGGGTGCCCTGCCTCACCTCGAGAAGCGTCCCTTTTTGCCCTGCCAAGCCTCAAAGAGATTCCTGAGGTGTCCCTCGTTACTAGACAGGAGTCCTGACGTCACTGAATAAACACGTGTTTTGAAGGGCCATCCCCACCGTAACTCAAGAACATACACCAGGTCCCCGCCGCAAGTCGAGAAAAACCAGGAGACATCCCCCTAGATGCGAGATGAGGCCCGATTCCCCTGCATTGCATGCAGAACAATTCCGTGACCATCATCAAACATGTAAGGAGCTTTCACTAGATGAATGGATCTCGAGACAATCCCCAAGAACACTGTCACAAGTCTAGACGGACACTGACGTCACCCCAGCAAAGCAAAGCAGTTTCATGTGCAACAAATCAACTCGAGATGAGGCCCGATTCCCCTGCATTGCTTCCAGAGCCATCCCCCATTCCCCATTAAACAGGACTAGTGGTTTGACTTCCTTCAGGCAACTCCAGAGATTGCCTGAGAACACTGTCGCAAGTCTAGAAGAACACCAACTTCAGCACAGCAACTCGAGGAATGCTCCATGTACCCCTAATTGTCTCGAGATGAGAGCTGATTCCCTGGCTTAGGCCCAAGACGTATGCCAACTTTCCAAAAACACCGAAAGAGGAGGCTTCTTTCAACAATAGTTATGTGGGAGGGACCCCGAGTTTGCTGCCTCAAATGGAATATACAGTGAGAAGCCCTAACTTGAAAGGAGGCCGGATTTCCTTGCAGTGGTGTGAATACAGGCTCGTCTTTCATGTCACAACAGGAAGGGATGTCTGAATCCCCTGTCGAGACGTTAGAGAAAGATCTAGGTCCCTGCCTCATTTTGACGGAATGCCTCACATCCCTTTGACACATCGAGAGGCACTCGGAGATCACTACTTCAAAGGGTGACGATGCATGACTCCTCTTGAACATTGTTAGGAATCCCCAAATCCCTGTGACTACTGGAAAGGGTCCTTGGGTGCCCTGCCTTACCTCGAGAAGCGTTCGTTTTACCCTGCCAAGCCTCAAAGAGATTCCTGACGTGTCCCTCGTTACTGGACAGGAGACGTGACATCACTATATAAACACGTGTTTTGAAGGGCCATCCCCGCCTTAACTCGAGAAGATACCCCAGGTCGCCACCGAAAATCGAGCAAAACCATGTGACTTCCCCCTAGAAGTTGGATGAGGCCCGATTCCGCTGCATTTAATGCAGAGCGATTCTGTGATCTCCATCAAACATGTAAGGAGCTTCGACTTGGTTAATGGATCTCAAGACAGTCCCCAAGAACACTGTCACAAGTCTAGACGGACCCTGAGGTCACCCCAGCAATGCAAAGCAGCTCCACGTGCCCCAAATCAACTCGAGAAGAGGATTGATTCACCTGCAATGATTCCAGAGCCATTCCCCATTCCCCATTAAACACGACCATTGGCTCGACTTCCTTCAGGCAACTCCAGAGATTCCCCGAGAACACTGTCCCAAGTCTAGAAGAACACCAACTTCAGCACAGCAACTCGAGGAATGCTCCGTGTACCCCAAATTGTCTCGAGATGAGAGCTGATTCCCTGGCTTAGACTCAACACTTATGCCAACATTCCAGAAACACCGAAAGAGGAGGCTTCCTCAGCAATAGGTATGTGGGAGGGACCCCGAGTTTGCAGCCTCAAGTGGAATATACAGCGAGAAGCCCTAACTTGAAAGGAGGCCAGATTTCCTTGCAGTGGCTTGAATACAGGCTCATCTTTCATCTCACAACATGAAGGGATGTCTGAATCCCCTGTCGAGACCTTAAAGAAAGCTCTAGGTCCCTGCCTCATTGTGACGGAATGCCTCACATTCATTTGGCACCTCGAGAGGCAGGCAGAGTTCACTGCTTGAAAATGTCACGATGCCTGACTCCTCTTGAACAATGTTAGGAATCCCCAAATCCCTGTGGCTCCTGGAAAGTGTCCTTGGTTACCCTGCCTCACCTCGAGAAGCGTCCCTTTTGTAATGCCAAGCCTTGAAGAGATTCCTGAGGTGTCCCTCGTTACTAGACAGGAGTCCTGACGTCACTGAATAAACACATGTTTTCAAGGGCCATCCCTGCCGTAACTCAAGAACATACACCAGGTCCCCGCCGCAAGTCGAGAAAAACCAGGAGACATCCCCCTAGATGCGAGATGAGGCCCGATTCCCCTGCATTGCATGCAGAACAATTCCGTGACCATCATCAAACATGTAAGGAGCTTTCACTAGATGAATGGATCTCGAGACAGTCCCCAAGAACACTGTCACAAGTCTAGACGGACACTGACGTCACCCCAGCAAAGCAAAGCAGTTTCATGTGCAACAAATCAACTCGAGATGAGGCCCGATTCCCCTGCATTGCTTCCAGAGCCATCCCCCTTTCCCCATTAAACAGGACTAGTGGTTTGACTTCCTTCAGGCAACTCCAGAGATTGCCTGAGAACACTGTCGCAAGTCTAGAAGAACACCAACTTCAGCACAGCAACTCGAGGAATGCTCCATGTACCCCTAATTGTCTCGAGATGAGAGCTGATTCCCTGGCTTAGGCCCAAGACGTATGCCAACTTTCCAGAAACACCGAAAGAGGAGGCTTCTTTCAACAATAGTTATGTGGGAGGGACCCCGAGTTTGCTGCCTCAAATGGAATATACAGTGAGAAGCCCTAACTTGAAAGGAGGCCGGATTTCCTTGCAGTGGTGTGAATACAGGCTCGTCTTTCATGTCACAACATGAAGGGATGTCTGAATCCCCTGTCGAGACGTTAGAGAAAGATCTAGGTCCCTGCCTCATTTTGACGGAATGCCTCACATCCCTTTGACACATCGAGAGGCACTCGGAGATCACTACTTCAAAGGGTGACGATGCATGACTCCTCTTGAACATTGTTAGGAATCCCCAAATCCCTGTGACTACTGGAAAGCGTCCTTGGGTGCCCTGCCTTACCTCGAGAAGCGTTCGTTTTACCCTGCCAAGCCTCAAAGAGATTCCTGACGTGTCCCTCGTTACTGGACAGGAGACGTGACATCACTATATAAACACGTGTTTTGAAGGGCCATCCCCGCCTTAACTCGAGAAGATACCCCAGGTCGCCACCGAAAATCGAGCAAAACCATGTGACTTCCCCCTAGAAGTTGGATGAGGCCCGATTCCGCTGCATTTCATGCAGAGTGATTCTGTGATCTCCATCAAACATGTAAGGAGCTTCGACTTGTTTAATGGATCTCAAGACAGTCCCCAAGAACACTGTCACAAGTCTAGACGGACCCTGAGGTCACCCCAGCAACGCAAAGCAGCTCTATGTGCCCCAAATCAACTCGAGATGAGGCCAGATTCCCCTGCATTGACTCCAGAGCCTTCCCCCATCCCCATTAAATAAGACCAGTGGCTCGACTTCCTTCACACAATTCCAGAGATTCCCCAAGGACACTGTCCCAAGTCTAGAAGAACACCAACTTCAGCACAGCAACTCGAGGAATGGTCCGTGTACCCCAGATCGTCTCGAGATGAGAGCAGATTCCCTAGCTTAGACTCAACACTTATGCCATCTTTCCAGACAAACCGAAAGAGTAGGCTTCCTCAGCAATAGGTATGTGGGAGGGACACCGAGTTTGCTGCCGCAAGTGGAATATACAGCGAGAAGCCCTAACTTGAAAGGAGGCCGGATTTCCTTGCAGTGGCGTGAATGCAGGCCTGTCTTTCATCTCACAACATGAAGAGATGTCTGAATCCCCTCTCGAGACCTTAGAGAAAGCTCTAGGTCCCTGCCTCATTTTGACGGAATGCCTCTCATAAATTTGGCACCTCGAGAGGCAGGCGGAGTTCACTGCTTCAAAAGGTGACGATGCCTGACTCCTCTTGAACAATGTTAGGAATCCCAGAATCCCTGTGGCTCCTGGAAAGGGTCCTTGGGTGGCCTGCCTCTCCTCGAGAAGCGTCTCTTTTGCAATGCCAAGCCTCGAAGAGATTCCTGAGGTGTCCCCCGTTACTAGACAGATGTCCTGACGTCACTGAATAAACACATGTTTTAAAGGGGCATCCCCGCCGAAACTCGAGAATATACACCAGGTCCCCGCCTCAACTCGAGAAAAACCAGGAGACTGCCCCCTAGATGCGAGATGAGGCCCGATTCCCCTGCATTGCATGCAGAACAATTCCGTGATCATCATCAAACATGTAAGGACCTTCGACTCGATTAATGGATCTTGAGATAGTCCCCAAGAACACTGTCACAAGTCTAGAAGGACCCTGAGGTCACCCCAGCAAAGAAAAGCAGCTGCATGTGCAGCAAATCAACTCGAGATGAGGCCCGATTCCCCTGAATTGATTCAAGAGCCATCCCCCTTTCCCCATTAAACACGACCAGTGGTTTGACTTCCTTCAGGCAACTCCAGAGATTCCCTGAGAACACTGTCCCAAGTCTAGAAGAACACCAACTTCTGCACAGCAACTCGAGGAATGCTCCTTGTACCCCTAATCGTCTTGACATGAGAGCAGATTCCCTGGCTTAGGCTCAAGACGTATGCCAACTTTCCAGAAACACCGAAAGAGGAGGCTTCTCTCAGCAATAGGTATGTGGGAGGAACCCCGAGTTTGCTGCCTCAAATTGAATATACAGCGAGAAGCCCTAACTTGAAAGGAGGCCGGATTTCCTTGCAGTGGCGTGAATACAGGCTCGTCTATCATCTCACAACATGAAGGGATGTCTGACACCCTGTCGAGACGTTAGAGAAAGATCTAGGTCCCTGCCTCATTTTGACGGAATGCCTCAGATCCCTTTGACACATCGAGAGGAACCCGGAGATCACTACTTCAAAGGGTGATGATGCAAGACTCCTCTTGAACATTGTTAGGAATCCCAAAATACATGTAACTATTGGAAAGGGACCTTGGGTGCCCTGCCTCACTTCGAGAAGCGTCCCTTTTTGCCCTGCCAAGCCTCAAAGAGATTTCTGAGGTGTCCCTCGTTACTAGACAGGAGTCGTGACATCACTATATAAACACGTGTTTTGAAGGGCCATCCCCGCTGAAACTCGAGAACATTCCCCAGGTCGCCGCCGAAAATCGAGAAAAACCATGTGACTTCCCCCTAGAGGCGAGATGAGGCCCGATTCCCCTGCATTGCATGCAGAGCCATTCTGTGATCTCCATCAAACATGTAAGGAGCTTCGACTTGGTTTTTGGATCTCAAGACAGTCCCCAAGAACACTGTCACAAGTCTAGACGGGCCCTGAGGTCACGCCAGCAATGCAAAGAAGCTCCACGTGCCCCAAATCAACTCGAGATGAGGTCAGATTCCCCTTCATTGACTCCAGAGCCAACCCCCGTTACACATTAAATACGGCCAGTGGCTCGACTTCCTTCACACAATTCCAGATATTCCCCAAGGACACTGTCCCAGCTCTAGAAGAACACGAACTTCAGCACAGCAACTCGAGGAATGTTCCGTGTACCCCTAATCGTCTCGAGATGAGAGCTGATTCCCCGGCTTAGACTCAAACTTATGCCAACTTTCCACAGACAGCGAGAGAGGAGGCTTCCTCAGCAATAGGTATGTGGGAGGGACCCCGAGTTTGCTGCCTCAAGTGGAATATACAGCGAGAAGCCCTAACTTGAAAGGAGGCCGGATTTCCTTGCAGTGGCTTGAATACAGGCTCGTCTTTCATCTCAAACATGAAGGGATGTCTGAATCCCCTGTCGAGACCTTAGCAGAGCTCTAGGTCCCTGCCTCATTGACGGAATGCCTCACATCCATATGGCAGCTCGAGAGGCAGGCGGAGTTCACTGCCTCAAAATGTCACGATGCCTGACTCCTCTTGAAAAATGTTATGAATCTCAAATCCCTGTGGCTCCTGAAAAGGGTCCTTGGGTGCCCTGCCTCACCTTGAGAAGCGTCCCTTTTGCCCTGCCAAGCCTCAAAATATTCCTGAGGTGTCCCTCATTACTAGACAGGAGTCCTGTTGTCACTGAATAAACACGTGTTTTGAAGGGCCATCCCCGCTGTACCTCGAGAACATACCCCAGGTCGCCGCGGAAAATCGAGAAAAACCATGTGACTTCCCCCTAGAGGCGAGATGAGGCCCAATTCCCCTGCATTGCATCAGAGCCATTCCATGATCTCCATCAAACCTGTAAGGAGCTTCGACTTAGTTAATGGATCTCAAGACAGTCCCCAAGAACACTGTCACAAGTCTAGACGGACCCTGAGGTCACCCCAGCAATGCAAAGCAGCTCCACGTGCCCCAAATCAACTCGAGAAGAGGATTGATTCACCTGCAATGATTCCAGAGCCATTCCCCATTCCCCATTAAACACGACCATTGGCTCGACTTCCTTCAGGCAACTCCAGAGATTCCCCGAGAACACTGTCCCAAGTCTAGAAGAACACCAACTTCAGCACAGCAACTCGAGGAATGCTCCGTGTACCCCAAATTGTCTCGAGATGAGAGCTGATTCCCTGGCTTAGACTCAACACTTATGCCAACATTCCAGAAACACCGAAAGAGGAGGCTTCCTCAGCAATAGGTATGTGGGAGGGACCCCGAGTTTGCTGCCTCAAGTGGAATATACAGCGAGAAGCCCTAACTTGAAAGGAGGCCAGATTTCCTTGCAGTGGCTTGAATACAGGCTCGTCTTTCATCTCACAACATGAAGGGATGTCTGAATCCCCTGTCGAGACCTTAAAGAAAGCTCTAGGTCCCTGCCTCATTGTGACGGAATGCCTCACATTCATTTGGCACCTCGAGAGGCAGGCAGAGTTCACTGCTTGAAAATGTCACGATGCCTGACTCCTCTTGAACAATGTTAGGAATCCCCAAATCCCTGTGGCTCCTGGAAAGTGTCCTTGGTTACCCTGCCTCACCTCGAGAAGCGTCCCTTTTGTAATGCCAAGCCTTGAAGAGATTCCTGAGGTGTCCCTCGTTACTAGACAGGAGTCCTGACGTCACTGAATAAACACATGTTTTCAAGGGCCATCCCTGCCGTAACTCAAGAACATACACCAGGTCCCCGCCGCAAGTCGAGAAAAACCAGGAGACATCCCCCTAGATGCGAGATGAGGCCCGATTCCCCTGCATTGCATGCAGAACAATTCCGTGACCATCATCAAACATGTAAGGAGCTTTCACTAGATGAATGGATCTCGAGACAGTCCCCAAGAACACTGTCACAAGTCTAGACGGACACTGACGTCACCCCAGCAAAGCAAAGCAGTTTCATGTGCAACAAATCAACTCGAGATGAGGCCCGATTCCCCTGCATTGCTTCCAGAGCCATCCCCCTTTCCCCATTAAACAGGACTAGTGGTTTGACTTCCTTCAGGCAACTCCAGAGATTGCCTGAGAACACTGTCGCAAGTCTAGAAGAACACCAACTTCAGCACAGCAACTCGAGGAATGCTCCATGTACCCCTAATTGTCTCGAGATGAGAGCTGATTCCCTGGCTTAGGCCCAAGACGTATGCCAACTTTCCAGAAACACCGAAAGAGGAGGCTTCTTTCAACAATAGTTATGTGGGAGGGACCCCGAGTTTGCTGCCTCAAATGGAATATACAGTGAGAAGCCCTAACTTGAAAGGAGGCCGGATTTCCTTGCAGTGGTGTGAATACAGGCTCGTCTTTCATGTCACAACATGAAGGGATGTCTGAATCCCCTGTCGAGACGTTAGAGAAAGATCTAGGTCCCTGCCTCATTTTGACGGAATGCCTCACATCCCTTTGACACATCGAGAGGCACTCGGAGATCACTACTTCAAAGGGTGACGATGCATGACTCCTCTTGAACATTGTTAGGAATCCCCAAATCCCTGTGACTACTGGAAAGGGTCCTTGGGTGCCCTGCCTTACCTCGAGAAGCGTTCGTTTTACCCTGCCAAGCCTCAAAGAGATTCCTGACGTGTCCCTCGTTACTGGACAGGAGACGTGACATCACTATATAAACACGTGTTTTGAAGGGCCATCCCCGCCTTAACTCGAGAAGATACCCCAGGTCGCCACCGAAAATCGAGCAAAACCATGTGACTTCCCCCTAGAAGTTGGATGAGGCCCGATTCCGCTGCATTTAATGCAGAGCGATTCTGTGATCTCCATCAAACATGTAAGGAGCTTCGACTTGGTTAATGGATCTCAAGACAGTCCCCAAGAACACTGTCACAAGTCTAGACGGACCCTGAGGTCACCCCAGCAACGCAAAGCAGCTCTATGTGCCCCAAATCAACTCGAGATGAGGCCAGATTCCCCTGCATTGACTCCAGAGCCTTCCCCCATCCCCATTAAATAAGACCAGTGGCTCGACTTCCTTCACACAATTCCAGAGATTCCCCAAGGACACTGTCCCAAGTCTAGAAGAACACCAACTTCAGCACAGCAACTCGAGGAATGGTCTTTGTACCCCAGATCGTCTCGAGATGAGAGCAGATTCCCTAGCTTAGACTCAACACTTATGCCATCTTTCCAGACAAACCGAAAGAGTAGGCTTCCTCAGCAATAGGTATGTGGGAGGGACACCGAGTTTGCTGCCGCAAGTGGAATATACAGCGAGAAGCCCTAACTTGAAAGGAGGCCGGATTTCCTTGCAGTGGCGTGAATGCAGGCCTGTCTTTCATCTCACAACATGAAGAGATGTCTGAATCCCCTCTCGAGACCTTAGAGAAAGCTCTAGGTCCCTGCCTCATTTTGACGGAATGCCTCTCATAAATTTGGCACCTCGAGAGGCAGGCGGAGTTCACTGCTTCAAAAGGTGACGATGCCTGACTCCTCTTGAACAATGTTAGGAATCCCAGAATCCCTGTGGCTCCTGGAAAGGGTCCTTGGGTGGCCTGCCTCTCCTCGAGAAGCGTCTCTTTTGCAATGCCAAGCCTCGAAGAGATTCCTGAGGTGTCCCCCGTTACTAGACAGATGTCCTGACGTCACTGAATAAACACATGTTTTAAAGGGGCATCCCCGCCGAAACTCGAGAATATACACCAGGTCCCCGCCTCAACTCGAGAAAAACCAGGAGACTGCCCCCTAGATGCGAGATGAGGCCCGATTCCCCTGCATTGCATGCAGAACAATTCCGTGATCATCATCAAACATGTAAGGACCTTCGACTCGATTAATGGATCTTGAGATAGTCCCCAAGAACACTGTCACAAGTCTAGACGGACCCTGAGGTCACCCCAGCAAAGAAAAGCAGCTGCATGTGCAGCAAATCAACTCGAGATGAGGCCCGATTCCCCTGAATTGATTCAAGAGCCATCCCCCTTTCCCCATTAAACACGACCAGTGGTTTGACTTCCTTCAGGCAACTCCAGAGATTCCCTGAGAACACTGTCCCAAGTCTAGAAGAACACCAACTTCTGCACAGCAACTCGAGGAATGCTCCTTGTACCCCTAATCGTCTTGACATGAGAGCAGATTCCCTGGCTTAGGCTCAAGACGTATGCCAACTTTCCAGAAACACCGAAAGAGGAGGCTTCTCTCAGCAATAGGTATGTGGGAGGAACCCCGAGTTTGCTGCCTCAAATTGAATATACAGCGAGAAGCCCTAACTTGAAAGGAGGCCGGATTTCCTTGCAGTGGCGTGAATACAGGCTCGTCTATCATCTCACAACATGAAGGGATGTCTGACACCCTGTCGAGACGTTAGAGAAAGATCTAGGTCCCTGCCTCATTTTGACGGAATGCCTCAGATCCCTTTGACACATCGAGAGGAACCCGGAGATCACTACTTCAAAGGGTGATGATGCAAGACTCCTCTTGAACATTGTTAGGAATCCCAAAATACATGTAACTATTGGAAAGGGACCTTGGGTGCCCTGCCTCACTTCGAGAAGCGTCCCTTTTTGCCCTGCCAAGCCTCAAAGAGATTTCTGAGGTGTCCCTCGTTACTAGACAGGAGTCGTGACATCACTATATAAACACGTGTTTTGAAGGGCCATCCCCGCTGAAACTCGAGAACATTCCCCAGGTCGCCGCCGAAAATCGAGAAAAACCATGTGACTTCCCCCTAGAGGCGAGATGAGGCCCGATTCCCCTGCATTGCATGCAGAGCCATTCTGTGATCTCCATCAAACATGTAAGGAGCTTCGACTTGGTTTTTGGATCTCAAGACAGTCCCCAAGAACACTGTCACAAGTCTAGACAGGCCCTGAGGTCACGCCAGCAATGCAAAGCAGCTCCATGTGCCCCAAATCAACTCGAGATGAGGTCAGATTCCCCTTCATTGACTCCGGAGCCAACCCCCGTTACACATTAAATACGGCCAGTGGCTCGACTTCCTTCACACAATTCCAGATATTCCCCAAGGACACTGTCCCAGCTCTAGAAGAACACGAACTTCAGCACAGCAACTCGAGGAATGTTCCGTGTACCCCTAATCGTCTCGAGATGAGAGCTGATTCCCCGGCTTAGACTCAAAACTTATGCCAACTTTCCAGAGGCAGCGAGAGAGGAGGCTTCCTCAGCAATAGGTATGTGGGAGGGACCCCGAGTTTGCTGCCTCAAGTGGAATATACAGCGAGAAGCCCTAACTTGAAAGGAGGCCGGATTTCCTTGCAGTGGCTTGAATACAGGCTCGTCTTTCATCTCAAACATGAAGGGATGTCTGAATCCCCTGTCGAGACCTTAGCAGAGCTCTAGGTCCCTGCCTCATTGACGGAATGCCTCACATCCATATGGCAGCTCGAGAGGCAGGCGGAGTTCACTGCCTCAAAATGTCACGATGCCTGACTCCTCTTGAAAAATGTTATGAATCTCAAATCCCTGTGGCTCCTGAAAAGGGTCCTTGGGTGCCCTGCCTCACCTCGAGAAGCGTCCCTTTTGCCCTGCCAAGCCTCAAAATATTCCTGAGGTGTCCCTCATTACTAGACAGGAGTCCTGTTGTCACTGAATAAACACGTGTTTTGAAGGGCCATCCCCGCTGTACCTCGAGAACATACCCCAGGTCGCCGCGGAAAATCGAGAAAAACCATGTGACTTCCCCCTAGAGGCGAGATGAGGCCCAATTCCCCTGCATTGCATCAGAGCCATTCCATGATCTCCATCAAACCTGTAAGGAGCTTCGACTTAGTTGATGGATCTCAAGACAGTCCCCAAGAACACTGTCACAAGTCTAGACGGACCCTGAGGTCACCCCAGCAATGCAAAGCAGCTCCACGTGCCCCAAATCAACTCGAGAAGAGGATTGATTCACCTGCAATGATTCCAGAGCCATTCCCCATTCCCCATTAAACACGACCATTGGCTCGACTTCCTTCAGGCAACTCCAGAGATTCCCGGAGAACACTGTCCCAAGTCTAGAAGAACACCAACTTCAGCACAGCAACTCGAGGAATGCTCCGTGTACCCCAAATTGTCTCGAGATGAGAGCTGATTCCCTGACTTAGACTCAACACTTATGCCAACATTCCAGAAACACCGAAAGAGGAGGCTTCCTCAGCAATAGGTATGTGGGAGGGACCCCGAGTTTGCTGCCTCAAGTGGAATATACAGCGAGAAGCCCTAACTTGAAAGGAGGCCAGATTTCCTTGCAGTGGCTTGAATACAGGCTCATCTTTCATCTCACAACATGAAGGGATGTCTGAATCCCCTGTCGAGACCTTAAAGAAAGCTCTAGGTCCCTGCCTCATTGTGACGGAATGCCTCACATTCATTTGGCACCTCGAGAGGCAGGCAGAGTTCACTGCTTGAAAATGTCACGATGCCTGACTCCTCTTGAACAATGTTAGGAATCCCCAAATCCCTGTGGCTCCTGGAAAGTGTCCTTGGTTACCCTGCCTCACCTCGAGAAGCGTCCCTTTTGTAATGCCAAGCCTTGAAGAGATTCCTGAGGTGTCCCTCGTTACTAGACAGGAGTCCTGACGTCACTGAATAAACACATGTTTTCAAGGGCCATCCCTGCCGTAACTCAAGAACATACACCAGGTCCCCGCCGCAAGTCGAGAAAAACCAGGAGACATCCCCCTAGATGCGAGATGAGGCCCGATTCCCCTGCATTGCATGCAGAACAATTCCGTGACCATCATCAAACATGTAAGGAGCTTTCACTAGATGAATGGATCTCGAGACAGTCCCCAAGAACACTGTCACAAGTCTAGACGGACACTGACGTCACCCCAGCAAAGCAAAGCAGTTTCATGTGCAACAAATCAACTCGAGATGAGGCCCGATTCCCCTGCATTGCTTCCAGAGCCATCCCCCTTTCCCCATTAAACAGGAATAGTGGTTTGACTTCCTTCAGGCAACTCCAGAGATTGCCTGAGAACACTGTCGCAAGTCTAGAAGAACACCAACTTCAGCACAGGAAATCGAGGAATGCTCCATGTACCCCTAATTGTCTCGAGATGAGAGCTGATTCCCTGGCTTAGGCCAAGACGTATGCCAACTTTCCAGAAACACCGAAAGAGGAGGCTTCTTTCAACAATAGTTATGTGGGAGGGACCCCGAGTTTGCTGCCTCAAATGGAATATACAGTGAGAAGCCCTAACTTGAAAGGAGGCCGGATTTCCTTGCAGTGGTGTGAATACAGGCTCGTCTTTCATGTCACAACATGAAGGGATGTCTGAATCCCCTGTCGAGACGTTAGAGAAAGATCTAGGTCCCTGCCTCATTTTGACGGAATGCCTCACATCCCTTTGACACATCGAGAGGCACTCGGAGATCACTACTTCAAAGGGTGACGATGCATGACTCCTCTTGAACATTGTTAGGAATCCCCAAATCCCTGTGACTACTGGAAAGCGTCCTTGGGTGCCCTGCCTTACCTCGAGAAGCGTTCGTTTTACCCTGCCAAGCCTCAAAGAGATTCCTGACGTGTCCCTCGTTACTGGACAGGAGACGTGACATCACTATATAAACACGTGTTTTGAAGGGCCATCCCCGCCTTAACTCGAGAAGATACCCCAGGTCGCCACCGAAAATCGAGCAAAACCATGTGACTTCCCCCTAGAAGTTGGATGAGGCCCGATTCCGCTGCATTTCATGCAGAGCGATTCTGTGATCTCCATCAAACATGTAAGGAGCTTCGACTTGGTTAATGGATCTCAAGACAGTCCCCAAGAACACTGTCACAAGTCTAGACGGACCCTGAGGTCACCCCAGCAACGCAAAGCAGCTCTATGTGCCCCAAATCAACTCGAGATGAGGCCAGATTCCCCTGCATTGACTCCAGAGCCTTCCCCCATCCCCATTAAATAAGACCAGTGGCTCGACTTCCTTCACACAATTCCAGAGATTCCCCAAGGACACTGTCCCAAGTCTAGAAGAACACCAACTTCAGCACAGCAACTCGAGGAATGGTCCGTGTACCCCAGATCGTCTCGAGATGAGAGCAGATTCCCTAGCTTAGACTCAACACTTATGCCATCTTTCCAGACAAACCGAAAGAGTAGGCTTCCTCAGCAATAGGTATGTGGGAGGGACACCGAGTTTGCTGCCGCAAGTGGAATATACAGCGAGAAGCCCTAACTTGAAAGGAGGCCGGATTTCCTTGCAGTGGCGTGAATGCAGGCCTGTCTTTCATCTCACAACATGAAGAGATGTCTGAATCCCCTCTCGAGACCTTAGAGAAAGCTCTAGGTCCCTGCCTCATTTTGACGGAATGCCTCTCATAAATTTGGCACCTCGAGAGGCAGGCGGAGTTCACTGCTTCAAAAGGTGACGATGCCTGACTCCTCTTGAACAATGTTAGGAATCCCAGAATCCCTGTGGCTCCTGGAAAGGGTCCTTGGGTGGCCTGCCTCTCCTCGAGAAGCGTCTCTTTTGCAATGCCAAGCCTCGAAGAGATTCCTGAGGTGTCCCCCGTTACTAGACAGATGTCCTGACGTCACTGAATAAACACATGTTTTAAAGGGGCATCCCCGCCGAAACTCGAGAATATACACCAGGTCCCCGCCTCAACTCGAGAAAAACCAGGAGACTGCCCCCTAGATGCGAGATGAGGCCCGATTCCCCTGCATTGCATGCAGAAAATTCCGTGATCATCATCAAACATGTAAGGACCTTCGACTCGATTAATGGATCTTGAGATAGTCCCCAAGAACACTGTCACAAGTCTAGACGGACCCTGAGGTCACCCCAGCAAAGAAAAGCAGCTGCATGTGCAGCAAATCAACTCGAGATGAGGCCCGATTCCCCTGAATTGATTCAAGAGCCATCCCCCTTTCCCCATTAAACACGACCAGTGGTTTGACTTCCTTCAGGCAACTCCAGAGATTCCCTGAGAACACTGTCCCAAGTCTAGAAGAACACCAACTTCTGCACAGCAACTCGAGGAATGCTCCTTGTACCCCTAATCGTCTTGACATGAGAGCAGATTCCCTGGCTTAGGCTCAAGACGTATGCCAACTTTCCAGAAACACCGAAAGAGGAGGCTTCTCTCAGCAATAGGTATGTGGGAGGAACCCCGAGTTTGCTGCCTCAAATTGAATATACAGCGAGAAGCCCTAACTTGAAAGGAGGCCGGATTTCCTTGCAGTGGCGTGAATACAGGCTCGTCTATCATCTCACAACATGAAGGGATGTCTGACACCCTGTCGAGACGTTAGAGAAGATCTAGGTCCCTGCCTCATTTTGACGGAATGCCTCAGATCCCTTTGACACATCGAGAGGAACCCGGAGATCACTACTTCAAAGGGTGATGATGCAAGACTCCTCTTGAACATTGTTAGGAATCCCAAAATACATGTAACTATTGGAAAGGGACCTTGGGTGCCCTGCCTCACTTCGAGAAGCGTCCCTTTTTGCCCTGCCAAGCCTCAAAGAGATTTCTGAGGTGTCCCTCGTTACTAGACAGGAGTCGTGACATCACTATATAAACACGTGTTTTGAAGGGCCATCCCCGCTGAAACTCGAGAACATTCCCCAGGTCGCCGCCGAAAATCGAGAAAAACCATGTGACTTCCCCCTAGAGGCGAGATGAGGCCCGATTCCCCTGCATTGCATGCAGAGCCATTCTGTGATCTCCATCAAACATGTAAGGAGCTTCGACTTGGTTTTTGGATCTCAAGACAGTCCCCAAGAACACTGTCACAAGTCTAGACGGGCCCTGAGGTCACGCCAGCAATGCAAAGAAGCTCCACGTGCCCCAAATCAACTCGAGATGAGGTCAGATTCCCCTTCATTGACTCCAGAGCCAACCCCCGTTACACATTAAATACGGCCAGTGGCTCGACTTCCTTCACACAATTCCAGATATTCCCCAAGGACACTGTCCCAGCTCTAGAAGAACACGAACTTCAGCACAGCAACTCGAGGAATGTTCCGTGTACCCCTAATCGTCTCGAGATGAGAGCTGATTCCCCGGCTTAGACTCAAACTTATGCCAACTTTCCACAGACAGCGAGAGAGGAGGCTTCCTCAGCAATAGGTATGTGGGAGGGACCCCGAGTTTGCTGCCTCAAGTGGAATATACAGCGAGAAGCCCTAACTTGAAAGGAGGCCGGATTTCCTTGCAGTGGCTTGAATACAGGCTCGTCTTTCATCTCAAACATGAAGGGATGTCTGAATCCCCTGTCGAGACCTTAGCAGAGCTCTAGGTCCCTGCCTCATTGACGGAATGCCTCACATCCATATGGCAGCTCGAGAGGCAGGCGGAGTTCACTGCCTCAAAATGTCACGATGCCTGACTCCTCTTGAAAAATGTTATGAATCTCAAATCCCTGTGGCTCCTGAAAAGGGTCCTTGGGTGCCCTGCCTCACCTTGAGAAGCGTCCCTTTTGCCCTGCCAAGCCTCAAAATATTCCTGAGGTGTCCCTCATTACTAGACAGGAGTCCTGTTGTCACTGAATAAACACGTGTTTTGAAGGGCCATCCCCGCTGTACCTCGAGAACATACCCCAGGTCGCCGCGGAAAATCGAGAAAAACCATGTGACTTCCCCCTAGAGGCGAGATGAGGCCCAATTCCCCTGCATTGCATCAGAGCCATTCCATGATCTCCATCAAACCTGTAAGGAGCTTCGACTTAGTTAATGGATCTCAAGACAGTCCCCAAGAACACTGTCCCAAGTCTAGAAGAACACCAACTTCAGCACAGCAACTCGAGGAATGCTCCGTGTACCCCAAATTGTCTCGAGATGAGAGCTGATTCCCTGGCTTAGACTCAACACTTATGCCAACATTCCAGAAACACCGAAAGAGGAGGCTTCCTCAGCAATAGGTATGTGGGAGGGACCCCGAGTTTGCTGCCTCAAGTGGAATATACAGCGAGAAGCCCTAACTTGAAAGGAGGCCAGATTTCCTTGCAGTGGCTTGAATACAGGCTCGTCTTTCATCTCACAACATGAAGGGATGTCTGAATCCCCTGTCGAGACCTTAAAGAAAGCTCTAGGTCCCTGCCTCATTGTGACGGAATGCCTCACATTCATTTGGCACCTCGAGAGGCAGGCAGAGTTCACTGCTTGAAAATGTCACGATGCCTGACTCCTCTTGAACAATGTTAGGAATCCCCAAATCCCTGTGGCTCCTGGAAAGTGTCCTTGGTTACCCTGCCTCACCTCGAGAAGCGTCCCTTTTGTAATGCCAAGCCTTGAAGAGATTCCTGAGGTGTCCCTCGTTACTAGACAGGAGTCCTGACGTCACTGAATAAACACATGTTTTCAAGGGCCATCCCTGCCGTAACTCAAGAACATACACCAGGTCCCCGCCGCAAGTCGAGAAAAACCAGGAGACATCCCCCTAGATGCGAGATGAGGCCCGATTCCCCTGCATTGCATGCAGAACAATTCCGTGACCATCATCAAACATGTAAGGAGCTTTCACTAGATGAATGGATCTCGAGACAGTCCCCAAGAACACTGTCACAAGTCTAGACGGACACTGACGTCACCCCAGCAAAGCAAAGCAGTTTCATGTGCAACAAATCAACTCGAGATGAGGCCCGATTCCCCTGCATTGCTTCCAGAGCCATCCCCCTTTCCCCATTAAACAGGACTAGTGGTTTGACTTCCTTCAGGCAACTCCAGAGATTGCCTGAGAACACTGTCGCAAGTCTAGAAGAACACCAACTTCAGCACAGCAACTCGAGGAATGCTCCATGTACCCCTAATTGTCTCGAGATGAGAGCTGATTCCCTGGCTTAGGCCCAAGACGTATGCCAACTTTCCAGAAACACCGAAAGAGGAGGCTTCTTTCAACAATAGTTATGTGGGAGGGACCCCGAGTTTGCTGCCTCAAATGGAATATACAGTGAGAAGCCCTAACTTGAAAGGAGGCCGGATTTCCTTGCAGTGGTGTGAATACAGGCTCGTCTTTCATGTCACAACATGAAGGGATGTCTGAATCCCCTGTCGAGACGTTAGAGAAAGATCTAGGTCCCTGCCTCATTTTGACGGAATGCCTCACATCCCTTTGACACATCGAGAGGCACTCGGAGATCACTACTTCAAAGGGTGACGATGCATGACTCCTCTTGAACATTGTTAGGAATCCCCAAATCCCTGTGACTACTGGAAAGGGTCCTTGGGTGCCCTGCCTTACCTCGAGAAGCGTTCGTTTTACCCTGCCAAGCCTCAAAGAGATTCCTGACGTGTCCCTCGTTACTGGACAGGAGACGTGACATCACTATATAAACACGTGTTTTGAAGGGCCATCCCCGCCTTAACTCGAGAAGATACCCCAGGTCGCCACCGAAAATCGAGCAAAACCATGTGACTTCCCCCTAGAAGTTGGATGAGGCCCGATTCCGCTGCATTTAATGCAGAGCGATTCTGTGATCTCCATCAAACATGTAAGGAGCTTCGACTTGGTTAATGGATCTCAAGACAGTCCCCAAGAACACTGTCACAAGTCTAGACGGACCCTGAGGTCACCCCAGCAACGCAAAGCAGCTCTATGTGCCCCAAATCAACTCGAGATGAGGCCAGATTCCCCTGCATTGACTCCAGAGCCTTCCCCCATCCCCATTAAATAAGACCAGTGGCTCGACTTCCTTCACACAATTCCAGAGATTCCCCAAGGACACTGTCCCAAGTCTAGAAGAACACCAACTTCAGCACAGCAACTCGAGGAATGGTCCGTGTACCCCAGATCGTCTCGAGATGAGAGCAGATTCCCTAGCTTAGACTCAACACTTATGCCATCTTTCCAGACAAACCGAAAGAGTAGGCTTCCTCAGCAATAGGTATGTGGGAGGGACACCGAGTTTGCTGCCGCAAGTGGAATATACAGCGAGAAGCCCTAACTTGAAAGGAGGCCGGATTTCCTTGCAGTGGCGTGAATGCAGGCCTGTCTTTCATCTCACAACATGAAGAGATGTCTGAATCCCCTCTCGAGACCTTAGAGAAAGCTCTAGGTCCCTGCCTCATTTTGACGGAATGCCTCTCATAAATTTGGCACCTCGAGAGGCAGGCGGAGTTCACTGCTTCAAAAGGTGACGATGCCTGACTCCTCTTGAACAATGTTAGGAATCCCAGAATCCCTGTGGCTCCTGGAAAGGGTCCTTGGGTGGCCTGCCTCTCCTCGAGAAGCGTCTCTTTTGCAATGCCAAGCCTCGAAGAGATTCCTGAGGTGTCCCCCGTTACTAGACAGATGTCCTGACGTCACTGAATAAACACATGTTTTAAAGGGGCATCCCCGCCGAAACTCGAGAATATACACCAGGTCCCCGCCTCAACTCGAGAAAAACCAGGAGACTGCCCCCTAGATGCGAGATGAGGCCCGATTCCCCTGCATTGCATGCAGAACAATTCCGTGATCATCATCAAACATGTAAGGACCTTCGACTCGATTAATGGATCTTGAGATAGTCCCCAAGAACACTGTCACAAGTCTAGACGGACCCTGAGGTCACCCCAGCAAAGAAAAGCAGCTGCATGTGCAGCAAATCAACTCGAGATGAGGCCCGATTCCCCTGAATTGATTCAAGAGCCATCCCCCTTTCCCCATTAAACACGACCAGTGGTTTGACTTCCTTCAGGCAACTCCAGAGATTCCCTGAGAACACTGTCCCAAGTCTAGAAGAACACCAACTTCTGCACAGCAACTCGAGGAATGCTCCTTGTACCCCTAATCGTCTTGACATGAGAGCAGATTCCCTGGCTTAGGCTCAAGACGTATGCCAACTTTCCAGAAACACCGAAAGAGGAGGCTTCTCTCAGCAATAGGTATGTGGGAGGAACCCCGAGTTTGCTGCCTCAAATTGAATATACAGCGAGAAGCCCTAACTTGAAAGGAGGCCGGATTTCCTTGCAGTGGCGTGAATACAGGCTCGTCTATCATCTCACAACATGAAGGGATGTCTGACACCCTGTCGAGACGTTAGAGAAAGATCTAGGTCCCTGCCTCATTTTGACGGAATGCCTCAGATCCCTTTGACACATCGAGAGGAACCCGGAGATCACTACTTCAAAGGGTGATGATGCAAGACTCCTCTTGAACATTGTTAGGAATCCCAAAATACATGTAACTATTGGAAAGGGACCTTGGGTGCCCTGCCTCACTTCGAGAAGCGTCCCTTTTTGCCCTGCCAAGCCTCAAAGAGATTTCTGAGGTGTCCCTCGTTACTAGACAGGAGTCGTGACATCACTATATAAACACGTGTTTTGAAGGGCCATCCCCGCTGAAACTCGAGAACATTCCCCAGGTCGCCGCCGAAAATCGAGAAAAACCATGTGACTTCCCCCTAGAGGCGAGATGAGGCCCGATTCCCCTGCATTGCATGCAGAGCCATTCTGTGATCTCCATCAAACATGTAAGGAGCTTCGACTTGGTTTTTGGATCTCAAGACAGTCCCCAAGAACACTGTCACAAGTCTAGACAGGCCCTGAGGTCACGCCAGCAATGCAAAGCAGCTCCATGTGCCCCAAATCAACTCGAGATGAGGTCAGATTCCCCTTCATTGACTCCGGAGCCAACCCCCGTTACACATTAAATACGGCCAGTGGCTCGACTTCCTTCACACAATTCCAGATATTCCCCAAGGACACTGTCCCAGCTCTAGAAGAACACGAACTTCAGCACAGCAACTCGAGGAATGTTCCGTGTACCCCTAATCGTCTCGAGATGAGAGCTGATTCCCCGGCTTAGACTCAAAACTTATGCCAACTTTCCAGAGGCAGCGAGAGAGGAGGCTTCCTCAGCAATAGGTATGTGGGAGGGACCCCGAGTTTGCTGCCTCAAGTGGAATATACAGCGAGAAGCCCTAACTTGAAAGGAGGCCGGATTTCCTTGCAGTGGCTTGAATACAGGCTCGTCTTTCATCTCAAACATGAAGGGATGTCTGAATCCCCTGTCGAGACCTTAGCAGAGCTCTAGGTCCCTGCCTCATTGACGGAATGCCTCACATCCATATGGCAGCTCGAGAGGCAGGCGGAGTTCACTGCCTCAAAATGTCACGATGCCTGACTCCTCTTGAAAAATGTTATGAATCTCAAATCCCTGTGGCTCCTGAAAAGGGTCCTTGGGTGCCCTGCCTCACCTCGAGAAGCGTCCCTTTTGCCCTGCCAAGCCTCAAAATATTCCTGAGGTGTCCCTCATTACTAGACAGGAGTCCTGTTGTCACTGAATAAACACGTGTTTTGAAGGGCCATCCCCGCTGTACCTCGAGAACATACCCCAGGTCGCCGCGGAAAATCGAGAAAAACCATGTGACTTCCCCCTAGAGGCGAGATGAGGCCCAATTCCCCTGCATTGCATCAGAGCCATTCCATGATCTCCATCAAACCTGTAAGGAGCTTCGACTTAGTTAATGGATCTCAAGACAGTCCCCAAGAACACTGTCACAAGTCTAGACGGACCCTGAGGTCACCCCAGCAATGCAAAGCAGCTCCACGTGCCCCAAATCAACTCGAGAAGAGGATTGATTCACCTGCAATGATTCCAGAGCCATTCCCCATTCCCCATTAAACACGACCATTGGCTCGACTTCCTTCAGGCAACTCCAGAGATTCCCCGAGAACACTGTCCCAAGTCTAGAAGAACACCAACTTCAGCACAGCAACTCGAGGAATGCTCCGTGTACCCCAAATTGTCTCGAGATGAGAGCTGATTCCCTGGCTTAGACTCAACACTTATGCCAACATTCCAGAAACACCGAAAGAGGAGGCTTCCTCAGCAATAGGTATGTGGGAGGGACCCCGAGTTTGCTGCCTCAAGTGGAATATACAGCGAGAAGCCCTAACTTGAAAGGAGGCCAGATTTCCTTGCAGTGGCTTGAATACAGGCTCATCTTTCATCTCACAACATGAAGGGATGTCTGAATCCCCTGTCGAGACCTTAAAGAAAGCTCTAGGTCCCTGCCTCATTGTGACGGAATGCCTCACATTCATTTGGCACCTCGAGAGGCAGGCAGAGTTCACTGCTTGAAAATGTCACGATGCCTGACTCCTCTTGAACAATGTTAGGAATCCCCAAATCCCTGTGGCTCCTGGAAAGTGTCCTTGGTTACCCTGCCTCACCTCGAGAAGCGTCCCTTTTGTAATGCCAAGCCTTGAAGAGATTCCTGAGGTGTCCCTCGTTACTAGACAGGAGTCCTGACGTCACTGAATAAACACATGTTTTCAAGGGCCATCCCTGCCGTAACTCAAGAACATACACCAGGTCCCCGCCGCAAGTCGAGAAAAACCAGGAGACATCCCCCTAGATGCGAGATGAGGCCCGATTCCCCTGCATTGCATGCAGAACAATTCCGTGACCATCATCAAACATGTAAGGAGCTTTCACTAGATGAATGGATCTCGAGACAGTCCCCAAGAACACTGTCACAAGTCTAGACGGACACTGACGTCACCCCAGCAAAGCAAAGCAGTTTCATGTGCAACAAATCAACTCGAGATGAGGCCCGATTCCCCTGCATTGCTTCCAGAGCCATCCCCCTTTCCCCATTAAACAGGACTAGTGGTTTGACTTCCTTCAGGCAACTCCAGAGATTGCCTGAGAACACTGTCGCAAGTCTAGAAGAACACCAACTTCAGCACAGGAACTCGAGGAATGCTCCATGTACCCCTAATTGTCTCGAGATGAGAGCTGATTCCCTGGCTTAGGCCAAGACGTATGCCAACTTTCCAGAAACACCGAAAGAGGAGGCTTCTTTCAACAATAGTTATGTGGGAGGGACCCCGAGTTTGCTGCCTCAAATGGAATATACAGTGAGAAGCCCTAACTTGAAAGGAGGCCGGATTTCCTTGCAGTGGTGTGAATACAGGCTCGTCTTTCATGTCACAACATGAAGGGATGTCTGAATCCCCTGTCGAGACGTTAGAGAAAGATCTAGATCCCTGCCTCATTTTGACGGAATGCCTCACATCCCTTTGACACATCGAGAGGCACTCGGAGATCACTACTTCAAAGGGTGACGATGCATGACTCCTCTTGAACATTGTTAGGAATCCCCAAATCCCTGTGACTACTGGAAAGGGTCCTTGGGTGCCCTGCCTTACCTCGAGAAGCGTTCGTTTTACCCTGCCAAGCCTCAAAGAGATTCCTGACGTGTCCCTCGTTACTGGACAGGAGACGTGACATCACTATATAAACACGTGTTTTGAAGGGCCATCCCCGCCTTAACTCGAGAAGATACCCCAGGTCGCCACCGAAAATCGAGCAAAACCATGTGACTTCCCCCTAGAAGTTGGATGAGGCCCGATTCCGCTGCATTTAATGCAGAGCGATTCTGTGATCTCCATCAAACATGTAAGGAGCTTCGACTTGGTTAATGGATCTCAAGACAGTCCCCAAGAACACTGTCACAAGTCTAGACGGACCCTGAGGTCACCCCAGCAACGCAAAGCAGCTCTATGTGCCCCAAATCAACTCGAGATGAGGCCAGATTCCCCTGCATTGACTCCAGAGCCTTCCCCCATCCCCATTAAATAAGACCAGTGGCTCGACTTCCTTCACACAATTCCAGAGATTCCCCAAGGACACTGTCCCAAGTCTAGAAGAACACCAACTTCAGCACAGCAACTCGAGGAATGGTCCGTGTACCCCAGATCGTCTCGAGATGAGAGCAGATTCCCTAGCTTAGACTCAACACTTATGCCATCTTTCCAGACAAACCGAAAGAGTAGGCTTCCTCAGCAATAGGTATGTGGGAGGGACACTGAGTTTGCTGCCGCAAGTGGAATATACAGCGAGAAGCCCTAACTTGAAAGGAGGCCGGATTTCCTTGCAGTGGCGTGAATGCAGGCCTGTCTTTCATCTCACAACATGAAGAGATGTCTGAATCCCCTCTCGAGACCTTAGAGAAAGATCTAGGTCCCTGCCTCATTTTGACGGAATGCCTCTCATAAATTTGGCACCTCGAGAGGCAGGCGGAGTTCACTGCTTCAAAAGGTGACGATGCCTGACTCCTCTTGAACAATGTTAGGAATCCCAGAATCCCTGTGGCTCCTGGAAACGGTCCTTGGGTGGCCTGCCTCTCCTCGAGAAGCGTCTCTTTTGCAATGCCAAGCCTCGAAGAGATTCCTGAGGTGTCCCCCGTTACTAGACAGATGTCCTGACGTCACTGAATAAACACATGTTTTAAAGGGGCATCCCCGCCAAAACTCGAGAATATACACCAGGTCCCCGCCTCAACTCGAGAAAAAACAGGAGACTGCCCCCTAGATGCGAGATGAGGCCCGATTCCCCTGCATTGCATGCAGAACAATTCCGTGATCATCATCAAACATGTAAGGACCTTCGACTCGATTAATGGATCTTGAGATAGTCCCCAAGAACACTGTCACAAGTCTAGACGGACCCTGAGGTCACCCCAGCAAAGAAAAGCAGCTGCATGTGCAGCAAATCAACTCGAGATGAGGCCCGATTCCCCTGAATTGATTCAAGAGCCATCCCCCTTTCCCCATTAAACACGACCAGTGGTTTGACTTCCTTCAGGCAACTCCAGAGATTCCCTGAGAACACTGTCCCAAGTCTAGAAGAACACCAACTTCTGCACAGCAACTCGAGGAATGCTCCTTGTACCCCTAATCGTCTTGACATGAGAGCAGATTCCCTGGCTTAGGCTCAAGACGTATGCCAACTTTCCAGAAACACCGAAAGAGGAGGCTTCTCTCAGCAATAGGTATGTGGGAGGAACCCCGAGTTTGCTGCCTCAAATTGAATATACAGCGAGAAGCCCTAACTTGAAAGGAGGCCGGATTTCCTTGCAGTGGCGTGAATACAGGCTCGTCTATCATCTCACAACATGAAGGGATGTCTGACACCCTGTCGAGACGTTAGAGAAAGATCTAGGTCCCTGCCTCATTTTGACGGAATGCCTCAGATCCCTTTGACACATCGAGAGGAACCCGGAGATCACTACTTCAAAGGGTGATGATGCAAGACTCCTCTTGAACATTGTTAGGAATCCCAAAATACATGTAACTATTGGAAAGGGACCTTGGGTGCCCTGCCTCACTTCGAGAAGCGTCCCTTTTTGCCCTGCCAAGCCTCAAAGAGATTTCTGAGGTGTCCCTCGTTACTAGACAGGAGTCGTGACATCACTATATAAACACGTGTTTTGAAGGGCCATCCCCGCTGAAACTCGAGAACATTCCCCAGGTCGCCGCCGAAAATCGAGAAAAACCATGTGACTTCCCCCTAGAGGCGAGATGAGGCCCGATTCCCCTGCATTGCATGCAGAGCCATTCTGTGATCTCCATCAAACATGTAAGGAGCTTCGACTTGGTTTTTGGATCTCAAGACAGTCCCCAAGAACACTGTCACAAGTCTAGACGGGCCCTGAGGTCACGCCAGCAATGCAAAGCAGCTCCATGTGCCCCAAATCAACTCGAGATGAGGTCAGATTCCCCTTCATTGACTCCAGAGCCAACCCCCGTTACACATTAAATACGGCCAGTGGCTCGACTTCCTTCACACAATTCCAGATATTCCCCAAGGACACTGTCCCAGCTCTAGAAGAACACGAACTTCAGCACAGCAACTCGAGGAATGTTCCGTGTACCCCTAATCGTCTCGAGATGAGAGCTGATTCCCCGGCTTAGACTCAAAACTTATGCCAACTTTCCACAGACAGCGAGAGAGGAGGCTTCCTCAGCAATAGGTATGTGGGAGGGACCCCGAGTTTGCTGCCTCAAGTGGAATATACAGCGAGAAGCCCTAACTTGAAAGGAGGCCGGATTTCCTTGCAGTGGCTTGAATACAGGCTCGTCTTTCATCTCAAACATGAAGGGATGTCTGAATCCCCTGTCGAGACCTTAGCAGAGCTCTAGGTCCCTGCCTCATTGACGGAATGCCTCACATCCATATGGCAGCTCGAGAGGCAGGCGGAGTTCACTGCCTCAAAATGTCACGATGCCTGACTCCTCTTGAAAAATGTTATGAATCTCAAATCCCTGTGGCTCCTGAAAAGGGTCCTTGGGTGCCCTGCCTCACCTTGAGAAGCGTCCCTTTTGCCCTGCCAAGCCTCAAAATATTCCTGAGGTGTCCCTCATTACTAGACAGGAGTCCTGTTGTCACTGAATAAACACGTGTTTTGAAGGGCCATCCCCGCTGTACCTCGAGAACATACCCCAGGTCGCCGCGGAAAATCGAGAAAAACCATGTGACTTCCCCCTAGAGGCGAGATGAGGCCCAATTCCCCTGCATTGCATCAGAGCCATTCCATGATCTCCATCAAACCTGTAAGGAGCTTCGACTTAGTTAATGGATCTCAAGACAGTCCCCAAGAACACTGTCACAAGTCTAGACGGACCCTGAGGTCACCCCAGCAATGCAAAGCAGCTCCACGTGCCCCAAATCAACTCGAGAAGAGGATTGATTCACCTGCAATGATTCCAGAGCCATTCCCCATTCCCCATTAAACACGACCATTGGCTCGACTTCCTTCAGGCAACTCCAGAGATTCCCCGAGAACACTGTCCCAAGTCTAGAAGAACACCAACTTCAGCACAGCAACTCGAGGAATGCTCCGTGTACCCCAAATTGTCTCGAGATGAGAGCTGATTCCCTGGCTTAGACTCAACACTTATGCCAACATTCCAGAAACACCGAAAGAGGAGGCTTCCTCAGCAATAGGTATGTGGGAGGGACCCCGAGTTTGCTGCCTCAAGTGGAATATACAGCGAGAAGCCCTAACTTGAAAGGAGGCCAGATTTCCTTGCAGTGGCTTGAATACAGGCTCATCTTTCATCTCACAACATGAAGGGATGTCTGAATCCCCTGTCGAGACCTTAAAGAAAGCTCTAGGTCCCTGCCTCATTGTGACGGAATGCCTCACATTCATTTGGCACCTCGAGAGGCAGGCAGAGTTCACTGCTTGAAAATGTCACGATGCCTGACTCCTCTTGAACAATGTTAGGAATCCCCAAATCCCTGTGGCTCCTGGAAAGTGTCCTTGGTTACCCTGCCTCACCTCGAGAAGCGTCCCTTTTGTAATGCCAAGCCTTGAAGAGATTCCTGAGGTGTCCCTCGTTACTAGACAGGAGTCCTGACGTCACTGAATAAACACATGTTTTCAAGGGCCATCCCTGCCGTAACTCAAGAACATACACCAGGTCCCCGCCGCAAGTCGAGAAAAACCAGGAGACATCCCCCTAGATGCGAGATGAGGCCCGATTCCCCTGCATTGCATGCAGAACAATTCCGTGACCATCATCAAACATGTAAGGAGCTTTCACTAGATGAATGGATCTCGAGACAGTCCCCAAGAACACTGTCACAAGTCTAGACGGACACTGACGTCACCCCAGCAAAGCAAAGCAGTTTCATGTGCAACAAATCAACTCGAGATGAGGCCCGATTCCCCTGCATTGCTTCCAGAGCCATCCCCCTTTCCCCATTAAACAGGACTAGTGGTTTGACTTCCTTCAGGCAACTCCAGAGATTGCCTGAGAACACTGTCGCAAGTCTAGAAGAACACCAACTTCAGCACAGGAACTCGAGGAATGCTCCATGTACCCCTAATTGTCTCGAGATGAGAGCTGATTCCCTGGCTTAGGCCAAGACGTATGCCAACTTTCCAGAAACACCGAAAGAGGAGGCTTCTTTCAACAATAGTTATGTGGGAGGGACCCCGAGTTTGCTGCCTCAAATGGAATATACAGTGAGAAGCCCTAACTTGAAAGGAGGCCGGATTTCCTTGCAGTGGTGTGAATACAGGCTCGTCTTTCATGTCACAACATGAAGGGATGTCTGAATCCCCTGTCGAGACGTTAGAGAAAGATCTAGATCCCTGCCTCATTTTGACGGAATGCCTCACATCCCTTTGACACATCGAGAGGCACTCGGAGATCACTACTTCAAAGGGTGACGATGCATGACTCCTCTTGAACATTGTTAGGAATCCCCAAATCCCTGTGACTACTGGAAAGGGTCCTTGGGTGCCCTGCCTTACCTCGAGAAGCGTTCGTTTTACCCTGCCAAGCCTCAAAGAGATTCCTGACGTGTCCCTCGTTACTGGACAGGAGACGTGACATCACTATATAAACACGTGTTTTGAAGGGCCATCCCCGCCTTAACTCGAGAAGATACCCCAGGTCGCCACCGAAAATCGAGCAAAACCATGTGACTTCCCCCTAGAAGTTGGATGAGGCCCGATTCCGCTGCATTTAATGCAGAGCGATTCTGTGATCTCCATCAAACATGTAAGGAGCTTCGACTTGGTTAATGGATCTCAAGACAGTCCCCAAGAACACTGTCACAAGTCTAGACGGACCCTGAGGTCACCCCAGCAACGCAAAGCAGCTCTATGTGCCCCAAATCAACTCGAGATGAGGCCAGATTCCCCTGCATTGACTCCAGAGCCTTCCCCCATCCCCATTAAATAAGACCAGTGGCTCGACTTCCTTCACACAATTCCAGAGATTCCCCAAGGACACTGTCCCAAGTCTAGAAGAACACCAACTTCAGCACAGCAACTCGAGGAATGGTCCGTGTACCCCAGATCGTCTCGAGATGAGAGCAGATTCCCTAGCTTAGACTCAACACTTATGCCATCTTTCCAGACAAACCGAAAGAGTAGGCTTCCTCAGCAATAGGTATGTGGGAGGGACACTGAGTTTGCTGCCGCAAGTGGAATATACAGCGAGAAGCCCTAACTTGAAAGGAGGCCGGATTTCCTTGCAGTGGCGTGAATGCAGGCCTGTCTTTCATCTCACAACATGAAGAGATGTCTGAATCCCCTCTCGAGACCTTAGAGAAAGATCTAGGTCCCTGCCTCATTTTGACGGAATGCCTCTCATAAATTTGGCACCTCGAGAGGCAGGCGGAGTTCACTGCTTCAAAAGGTGACGATGCCTGACTCCTCTTGAACAATGTTAGGAATCCCAGAATCCCTGTGGCTCCTGGAAACGGTCCTTGGGTGGCCTGCCTCTCCTCGAGAAGCGTCTCTTTTGCAATGCCAAGCCTCGAAGAGATTCCTGAGGTGTCCCCCGTTACTAGACAGATGTCCTGACGTCACTGAATAAACACATGTTTTAAAGGGGCATCCCCGCCAAAACTCGAGAATATACACCAGGTCCCCGCCTCAACTCGAGAAAAAACAGGAGACTGCCCCCTAGATGCGAGATGAGGCCCGATTCCCCTGCATTGCATGCAGAACAATTCCGTGATCATCATCAAACATGTAAGGACCTTCGACTCGATTAATGGATCTTGAGATAGTCCCCAAGAACACTGTCACAAGTCTAGACGGACCCTGAGGTCACCCCAGCAAAGAAAAGCAGCTGCATGTGCAGCAAATCAACTCGAGATGAGGCCCGATTCCCCTGAATTGATTCAAGAGCCATCCCCCTTTCCCCATTAAACACGACCAGTGGTTTGACTTCCTTCAGGCAACTCCAGAGATTCCCTGAGAACACTGTCCCAAGTCTAGAAGAACACCAACTTCTGCACAGCAACTCGAGGAATGCTCCTTGTACCCCTAATCGTCTTGACATGAGAGCAGATTCCCTGGCTTAGGCTCAAGACGTATGCCAACTTTCCAGAAACACCGAAAGAGGAGGCTTCTCTCAGCAATAGGTATGTGGGAGGAACCCCGAGTTTGCTGCCTCAAATTGAATATACAGCGAGAAGCCCTAACTTGAAAGGAGGCCGGATTTCCTTGCAGTGGCGTGAATACAGGCTCGTCTATCATCTCACAACATGAAGGGATGTCTGACACCCTGTCGAGACGTTAGAGAAAGATCTAGGTCCCTGCCTCATTTTGACGGAATGCCTCAGATCCCTTTGACACATCGAGAGGAACCCGGAGATCACTACTTCAAAGGGTGATGATGCAAGACTCCTCTTGAACATTGTTAGGAATCCCAAAATACATGTAACTATTGGAAAGGGACCTTGGGTGCCCTGCCTCACTTCGAGAAGCGTCCCTTTTTGCCCTGCCAAGCCTCAAAGAGATTTCTGAGGTGTCCCTCGTTACTAGACAGGAGTCGTGACATCACTATATAAACACGTGTTTTGAAGGGCCATCCCCGCTGAAACTCGAGAACATTCCCCAGGTCGCCGCCGAAAATCGAGAAAAACCATGTGACTTCCCCCTAGAGGCGAGATGAGGCCCGATTCCCCTGCATTGCATGCAGAGCCATTCTGTGATCTCCATCAAACATGTAAGGAGCTTCGACTTGGTTTTTGGATCTCAAGACAGTCCCCAAGAACACTGTCACAAGTCTAGACGGGCCCTGAGGTCACGCCAGCAATGCAAAGCAGCTCCATGTGCCCCAAATCAACTCGAGATGAGGTCAGATTCCCCTTCATTGACTCCAGAGCCAACCCCCGTTACACATTAAATACGGCCAGTGGCTCGACTTCCTTCACACAATTCCAGATATTCCCCAAGGACACTGTCCCAGCTCTAGAAGAACACGAACTTCAGCACAGCAACTCGAGGAATGTTCCGTGTACCCCTAATCGTCTCGAGATGAGAGCTGATTCCCCGGCTTAGACTCAAAACTTATGCCAACTTTCCACAGACAGCGAGAGAGGAGGCTTCCTCAGCAATAGGTATGTGGGAGGGACCCCGAGTTTGCTGCCTCAAGTGGAATATACAGCGAGAAGCCCTAACTTGAAAGGAGGCCGGATTTCCTTGCAGTGGCTTGAATACAGGCTCGTCTTTCATCTCAAACATGAAGGGATGTCTGAATCCCCTGTCGAGACCTTAGCAGAGCTCTAGGTCCCTGCCTCATTGACGGAATGCCTCACATCCATATGGCAGCTCGAGAGGCAGGCGGAGTTCACTGCCTCAAAATGTCACGATGCCTGACTCCTCTTGAAAAATGTTATGAATCTCAAATCCCTGTGGCTCCTGAAAAGGGTCCTTGGGTGCCCTGCCTCACCTTGAGAAGCGTCCCTTTTGCCCTGCCAAGCCTCAAAATATTCCTGAGGTGTCCCTCATTACTAGACAGGAGTCCTGTTGTCACTGAATAAACACGTGTTTTGAAGGGCCATCCCCGCTGTACCTCGAGAACATACCCCAGGTCGCCGCGGAAAATCGAGAAAAACCATGTGACTTCCCCCTAGAGGCGAGATGAGGCCCAATTCCCCTGCATTGCATCAGAGCCATTCCATGATCTCCATCAAACCTGTAAGGAGCTTCGACTTAGTTAATGGATCTCAAGACAGTCCCCAAGAACACTGTCACAAGTCTAGACGGACCCTGAGGTCACCCCAGCAATGCAAAGCAGCTCCACGTGCCCCAAATCAACTCGAGAAGAGGATTGATTCACCTGCAATGATTCCAGAGCCATTCCCCATTCCCCATTAAACATGACCATTGGCTCGACTTCCTTCAGGCAACTCCAGAGATTCCCCGAGAACACTGTCCCAAGTCTAGAAGAACACCAACTTCAGCACAGCAACTCGAGGAATGCTCCGTGTACCCCAAATTGTCTCGAGATGAGAGCTGATTCCCTGGCTTAGACTCAACACTTATGCCAACATTCCAGAAACACCGAAAGAGGAGGCTTCCTCAGCAATAGGTATGTGGGAGGGACCCCGAGTTTGCTGCCTCAAGTGGAATATACAGCGAGAAGCCCTAACTTGAAAGGAGGCCAGATTTCCTTGCAGTGGCTTGAATACAGGCTCGTCTTTCATCTCACAACATGAAGGGATGTCTGAATCCCCTGTCGAGACCTTAAAGAAAGCTCTAGGTCCCTGCCTCATTGTGACGGAATGCCTCACATTCATTTGGCACCTCGAGAGGCAGGCAGAGTTCACTGCTTGAAAATGTCACGATGCCTGACTCCTCTTGAACAATGTTAGGAATCCCCAAATCCCTGTGGCTCCTGGAAAGTGTCCTTGGTTACCCTGCCTCACCTCGAGAAGCATCCCTTTTGTAATGCCAAGCCTTGAAGAGATTCCTGAGGTGTCCCTCGTTACTAGACAGGAGTCCTGACGTCACTGAATAAACACATGTTTTCAAGGGCCATCCCTGCCGTAACTCAAGAACATACACCAGGTCCCCGCCGCAAGTCGAGAAAAACCAGGAGACATCCCCCTAGATGCGAGATGAGGCCCGATTCCCCTGCATTGCATGCAGAACAATTCCGTGACCATCATCAAACATGTAAGGAGCTTTCACTAGATGAATGGATCTCGAGACAGTCCCCAAGAACACTGTCACAAGTCTAGACGGACACTGACGTCACCCCAGCAAAGCAAAGCAGTTTCATGTGCAACAAATCAACTCGAGATGAGGCCCGATTCCCCTGCATTGCTTCCAGAGCCATCCCCCTTTCCCCATTAAACAGGACTAGTGGTTTGACTTCCTTCAGGCAACTCCAGAGATTGCCTGAGAACACTGTCGCAAGTCTAGAAGAACACCAACTTCAGCACAGGAACTCGAGGAATGCTCCATGTACCCCTAATTGTCTCGAGATGAGAGCTGATTCCCTGGCTTAGGCCCAAGACGTATGCCAACTTTCCAGAAACACCGAAAGAGGAGGCTTCTTTCAACAATAGTTATGTGGGAGAGACCCCGAGTTTGCTGCCTCAAATGGAATATACAGCGAGAAGCCCTAACTTGAAAGGAGGCCGGATTTCCTTGCAGTGGCGTGAATACAGGCTCGTCTATCATCTCACAACATGAAGGGATGTCTGAATCCCCTGTCGAGACGTTAGAGAAAGATCTAGGTCCCTGCCTCATTTTGACGGAATGCCTCACATCCCTTTGACATATCGAGAGGAACCCGGAGATCACTACTTCAAAGAGTGACGATGCAAGACTCCTCTTGAACATTGTTAGGAATCCCAGAATACATGTAACTATTGGAAAGGGACCTTGGGTGCCCTGCCTCACCTCGAGAAGCGTCCCTTTTTGCCCTGCCAAGCCTCAAAGAGATTCTTGAGGTGTCCCTCGTTACTAGACAGGAGTCCTGACGTCACTGAATAAACACGTGTTTTGAAGGGCCATCCCCACCGTAACTCAAGAACATACACCAGGTCCCCGCCGCAAGTCGAGAAAAACCAGGAGACATCCCCCTAGATGCGAGATGAGGCCCGATTCCCCTGCATTGCATGCAGAACAATTCCGTGACCATCATCAAACATGTAAGGAGCTTTCACTAGATGAATGGATCTCGAGACAGTCCCCAAGAACACTGTCACAAGTCTAGACGGACACTGACGTCACCCCAGCAAAGCAAAGCAGTTTCATGTGCAACAAATCAACTCGAGATGAGGCCCGATTCCCCTGCATTGCTTCCAGAGCCATCCCCCTTTCCCCATTAAACAGGACTAGTGGTTTGATTTCCTTCAGGCAACTCCAGAGATTGCCTGAGAACACTGTCGCAAGTCTAGAAGAACACCAACTTCAGCACAGCAACTCGAGGAATGCTCCATGTACCCCTAATTGTCTCGAGATGAGAGCTGATTCCCTGGCTTAGGCCCAAGACGTATGCCAACTTTCCAGAAACACCGAAAGAGGAGGCTTCTTTCAACAATAGTTATGTGGGAGAGACCCCGAGTTTGCTGCCTCAAATGGAATATACAGCGAGAAGCCCTAACTTGAAAGGAGGCCGGATTTCCTTGCAGTGGCGTGAATACAGGCTCGTCTATCATCTCACAACATGAAGGGATGTCTGAATCCCCTGTCGAGACGTTAGAGAAAGATCTAGGTCCCTGCCTCATTTTGACGGAATGCCTCACATCCCTTTGACATATCGAGAGGAACCCGGAGATCACTACTTCAAAGAGTGACGATGCAAGACTCCTCTTGAACATTGTTAGGAATCCCAGAATACATGTAACTATTGGAAAGGGACCTTGGGTGCCCTGCCTCACCTCGAGAAGCGTCCCTTTTTGCCCTGCCAAGCCTCAAAGAGATTCCTGAGGTGTCCCTCGTTACTAGACAGGAGTCCTGACGTCACTGAATAAACACGTGTTTTGAAGGGCCATCCCCACCGTAACTCAAGAACATACACCAGGTCCCCGCCGCAAGTCGAGAAAAACCAGGAGACATCCCCCTAGATGCGAGATGAGGCCCGATTCCCCTGCATTGCATGCAGAACAATTCCGTGACCATCATCAAACATGTAAGGAGCTTTCACTAGATGAATGGATCTCGAGACAGTCACCAAGAACACTGTCACAAGTCTAGACGGACACTGACGTCACCCCAGCAAAACAAAGCAGTTTCATGTGCAACAAATCAACTCGAGATGAGGCCCGATTCCCCTGCATTGCTTCCAGAGCCATCCCCCTTTCCACATTAAGCAGGACTAGTGGTTTGACTTCCTTCAGGCAACTCCAGAGATTGCCTGAGAACACTGTCGCAAGTCTAGAAGAACACCAACTTCAGCACAGCAACTCGAGGAATGCTCCATGTACCCCTAATTGTCTCGAGATGAGAGCTGATTCCCTGGCTTAGGCCCAAGACGTATGCCAACTTTCCAAAAACACCGAAAGAGGAGGCTTCTTTCAACAATAGTTATGTGGGAGGGACCCCGAGTTTGCTGCCTCAAATGGGATATACAGTGAGAAGCCCTAACTTGAAAGGAGGCCGGATTTCCTTGCAGTGGTGTGAATACAGGCTCGTCTTTCATGTCACAACATGAAGGGATGTCTGAATCCCCTGTCGAGACGTTAGAGAAAGATCTAGGTCCCTGCCTCATTTTGACGGAATGCCTCACATCCCTTTGACACATCGAGAGGCACTCCAAGATCACTACTTCAAAGGGTGACGATGCATGACTCCTCTTGAACATTGTTAGGAATCCCCAAATCCCTGTGACTACTGGAAAGGGTCCTTGGGTGCCCTGCCTTACCTCGAGAAGCGTTCGTTTTACCCTGCCAAGCCTCAAAGAGATTCCTGACGTGTCCCTCGTTACTGGACAGGAGACGTGACATCACTATATAAACACGTGTTTTGAAGGGCCATCCCCGCCTTAACTCGAGAAGATACCCCAGGTCGCCACCGAAAATCGAGCAAAACCATGTGACTTCCCCCTAGAAGTTGGATGAGGCCCGATTCCGCTGCATTTAATGCAGAGCGATTCTGTGATCTCCATCAAACATGTAAGGAGCTTCGACTTGGTTAATGGATCTCAAGACAGTCCCCAAGAACACTGTCACAAGTCTAGACGGACCCTGAGGTCACCCCAGCAACGCAAAGCAGCTCTATGTGCCCCAAATCAACTCGAGATGAGGCCAGATTCCCCTGCATTGACTCCAGAGCCTTCCCCCATCCCCATTAAATAAGACCAGTGGCTCGACTTCCTTCACACAATTCCAGAGATTCCCCAAGGACACTGTCCCAAGTCTAGAAGAACACCAACTTCAGCACAGCAACTCGAGGAATGGTCCGTGTACCCCAGATCGTCTCGAGATGAGAGCAGATTCCCTAGCTTAGACTCAACACTTATGCCATCTTTCCAGACAAACCGAAAGAGTAGGCTTCCTCAGCAATAGGTATGTGGGAGGGACACCGAGTTTGCTGCCGCAAGTGGAATATACAGCGAGAAGCCCTAACTTGAAAGGAGGCCGGATTTCCTTGCAGTGGCGTGAATGCAGGCTTGTCTTTCATCTCACAACATGAAGAGATGTCTGAATCCCCTCTCGAGACCTTAGAGAAAGATCTAGGTCCCTGCCTCATTTTGACGGAATGCCTCTCATAAATTTGGCACCTCGAGAGGCAGGCGGAGTTCACTGCTTCAAAAGGTGACGATGCCTGACTCCTCTTGAACAATGTTAGGAATCCCAGAATCCCTGTGGCTCCTGGAAAGGGTCCTTGGGTGGCCTGCCTCTCCTCGAGAAGCGTCTCTTTTGCAATGCCAAGCCTCGAAGAGATTCCTGAGGTGTCCCCCGTTACTAGACAGATGTCCTGACGTCACTGAATAAACACATGTTTTAAAGGGGCATCCCCGCCGAAACTCGAGAATATACACCAGGTCCCCGCCTCAACTCGAGAAAAACCAGGAGACTGCCCCCTAGATGCGAGATGAGGCCCGATTCCCCTGCATTGCATGCAGAACAATTCCGTGATCATCATCAAACATGTAAGGACCTTCGACTCGATTAATGGATCTTGAGATAGTCCCCAAGAACACTGTCACAAGTCTAGACGGACCCTGAGGTCACCCCAGCAAAGAAAAGCAGCTGCATGTGCAGCAAATCAACTCGAGATGAGGCCCGATTCCCCTGAATTGATTCAAGAGCCATCCCCCTTTCCCCATTAAACACGACCAGTGGTTTGACTTCCTTCAGGCAACTCCAGAGATTCCCTGAGAACACTGTCCCAAGTCTAGAAGAACACCAACTTCTGCACAGCAACTCGAGGAATGCTCCTTGTACCCCTAATCGTCTTGACATGAGAGCAGATTCCCTGGCTTAGGCTCAAGACGTATGCCAACTTTCCAGAAACACCGAAAGAGGAGGCTTCTCTCAGCAATAGGTATGTGGGAGGAACCCCGAGTTTGCTGCCTCAAATTGAATATACAGCGAGAAGCCCTAACTTGAAAGGAGGCCGGATTTCCTTGCAGTGGCGTGAATACAGGCTCGTCTATCATCTCACAACATGAAGGGATGTCTGACACCCTGTCGAGACGTTAGAGAAAGATCTAGGTCCCCGCCTCATTTTGACGGAATGCCTCAGATCCCTTTGACACATCGAGAGGAACCCGGAGATCACTACTTCAAAGGGTGATGATGCAAGACTCCTCTTGAACATTGTTAGGAATCCCAAAATACATGTAACTATTGGAAAGGGACCTTGGGTGCCCTGCCTCACTTCGAGAAGCGTCCCTTTTTGCCCTGCCAAGCCTCAAAGAGATTTCTGAGGTGTCCCTCGTTACTAGACAGGAGTCGTGACATCACTATATAAACACGTGTTTTGAAGGGCCATCCCCGCTGAAACTCGAGAACATTCCCCAGGTCCCCACCGAAAATCGAGAAAAACCATGTGACTTCCCCCTAGAGGCGAGATGAGGCCCGATTCCCCTGCATTGCATGCAGAGCCATTCTGTGATCTCCATCAAACATGTAAGGAGCTTCGACTTGGTTTTTGGATCTCAAGACAGTCCCCAAGAACACTGTCACAAGTCTAGACGGGCCCTGAGGTCACGCCAGCAATGCAAAGCAGCTCCATGTGCCCCAAATCAACTCGAGATGAGGTCAGATTCCCCTTCATTGACTCCAGAGCCAACCCCCGTTACACATTAAATACGGCCAGTGGCTCGACTTCCTTCACACAATTCCAGATATTCCCCAAGGACACTGTCCCAGCTCTAGAAGAACACGAACTTCAGCACAGCAACTCGAGGAATGTTCCGTGTACCCCTAATCGTCTCGAGATGAGAGCTGATTCCCCGGCTTAGACTCAAAACTTATGCCAACTTTCCACAGACAGCGAGAGAGGAGGCTTCCTCAGCAATAGGTATGTGGGAGGGACCCCGAGTTTGCTGCCTCAAGTGGAATATACAGCGAGAAGCCCTAACTTGAAAGGAGGCCGGATTTCCTTGCAGTGGCTTGAATACAGGCTCGTCTTTCATCTCAAACATGAAGGGATGTCTGAATCCCCTGTCGAGACCTTAGCAGAGCTCTAGGTCCCTGCCTCATTGACGGAATGCCTCACATCCATATGGCAGCTCGAGAGGCAGGCGGAGTTCACTGCCTCAAAATGTCACGATGCCTAACTCCTCTTGAAAAATGTTATGAATCTCAAATCCCTGTGGCTCCTGAAAAGGGTCCTTGGGTGCCCTGCCTCACCTCGAGAAGCGTCCCTTTTGCCCTGCCAAGCCTCAAAATATTCCTGAGGTGTCCCTCATTACTAGACAGGAGTCCTGTTGTCACTGAATAAACACGTGTTTTGAAGGGCCATCCCCGCTGTACCTCGAGAACATACCCCAGGTCGCCGCGGAAAATCGAGAAAAACCATGTGACTTCCCCCTAGAGGCGAGATGAGGCCCGATTCCCCTGCATTGCATCAGAGCCATTCCATGATCTCCATCAAACCTGTAAGGAGCTTCGACTTAGTTAATGGATCTCAAGACAGTCCCCAAGAACACTGTCACAAGTCTAGACGGACCCTGAGGTCACCCCAGCAATGAAAAGCAGCTCCACGTGCCCCAAATCAACTCGAGAAGAGGATTGATTCACCTGCAATGATTCCAGAGCCATTCCCCATTCCCCATTAAACACGACTATTGGCTCGACTTCCTTCAGGCAACTCCAGAGATTCCCCGAGAACACTGTCCCAAGTCTAGAAGAACACCAACTTCAGCACAGCAACTCGAGGAATGCTCCGTGTACCCCAAATTGTCTCGAGATGAGAGCTGATTCCCTGGCTTAGACTCAACACTTATGCCAACATTCCAGAAACACCGAAAGAGGAGGCTTCCTCAGCAATAGGTATGTGGGGGGGACCCCGAGTTTGCTGCCTCAAGTGGAATATACAGCGAGAAGCCTTAACTTGAAAGGAGGCCAGATTTCCTTGCAGTGGCTTGAATACAGGCTCCTCTTTCATCTCACAACATGAAGGGATGTCTGAATCCCCTGTCGAGACCTTAAAGAAAGCTCTAGGTCCCTGCCTCATTGTGACGGAATGCCTCACATTCATTTGGCACCTCGAGAGGCAGGCAGAGTTCACTGCTTGAAAATGTCACGATGCCTGACTCCTCTTGAACAATGTTAGGAATCCCCAAATCCCTGTGGCTCCTGGAAAGTGTCCTTGGTTACCCTGCCTCACCTCGAGAAGCGTCCCTTTTGTAATGCCAAGCCTTGAAGAGATTCCTGAGGTGTCCCTCGTTACTAGACAGGAGTCCTGACGTCACTGAATAAACACGTGTTTTGAAGGGCCATCGCCGCCATAACTCAAGAACATACACCAGGTCCCCGCCGCAAGTCGAGAAAAACCAGGAGACTTCCCCCTAGATGCGAGATGAAGCCCGATTCCCCTGCATTGCATGCAGAACAATTCCGTGACCATCATCAAACATGTAAGGAGCTTTCACTAGATGAATGGATCTCGAGACAGTCACCAAGAACACTGTCACAAGTCTAGACGGACACTGACGTCACCCCAGCAAAGCAAAGCAGTTTCATGTGCAACCAATCAACTCGAGATGAGGCCCGATTCCCCTGCCTTGCTTCCAGAGCCATCCCCCTTTCCCCATTAAACAGGACTAGTGGTTTGACTTCCTTCAGGCAACTCCAGAGATTGCCTGAGAACACTGTCACAAGACTAGAAGAACACCAACTTCAGCACAGGAACTCGAGGAATGCTCTATGTACCCCTAATTGTCTCGAGATGAGAGCTGATTCCCTGGCTTAGGCCCAAGACGTATGCCAACTTTCCAGAAACACCGAAAGAGGAGGCTTCTTTCAACAATAGTTATGTGGGAGGGACCCCGAGTTTGCTGCCTCAAATGGAATATACAGTGAGAAGCCCTAACTTGAAAGGAGGCCGGATTTCCTTGCAGTGGTGTGAATACAGGCTCGTCTTTCATGTCACAACATGAAGGGATGTCTGAATCCCCTGTCGAGACCTTAAAGAAAGCTCTAGGTCCCTGCCTCATTGTGACGGAATGCCTCACATTCATTTGGCACCCCGAGAGGCAGGCAGAGTTCACTGCTTGAAAATGTCACGATGCCTGACTCCTCTTGAACAATGTTAGGAATCCCCAAATCCCTGTGGCTCCTGGAAAGGGTCCTTGGGTGCCCTGCTTACCTCGGGAAGTGTTCGTTTTACCCTCCCAAGCCTCAAAGAGATTCCTGTCGTGTCCCTCGTTACTGGACAGGAGACGTGACATCACTATATAAACACGTGTTTTCAAGGGCCATCCCTGCCGTAACTCGAGAACATACACCAGGTCCCCGCCGCAAGTCGAGAAAAACCAGGAGACATCCCCCTAGATGCGAGATGAGGCCCGATTCCCCTGCATTGCATGCAGAACAATTCCGTGACCATCATCAAACATGTAAGGAGCTTTCACTAGATGAATGGATCTCGAGACAGTCCCCAAGAACACTGTCACAAGTCTAGACGGACACTGACGTCACCCCAGCAAAGCAAAGCAGTTTCATGTGCAACAAATCAATTCGAGATGAGGCCCGATTCCCCTGCATTGCTTCCAGAGCCATCCCCCTTTCCCCATTAAATAAGACCAGTGGCTCGACTTCCTTCACACAATTCCAGAGATTGCCTGAGAACACTGTCCCAAGTCTAGAAGAACACCAACTTCAGCACAGCAACTCGAGGAATGGTCCGTGTACCCCAGATCGTCTCGAGATGAGAGCAGATTCCCTAGCTTAGACTCAACACTTATGCCATCTTTCCAGACAAACCGAAAGAGTAGGCTTCCTCAGCAATAGGTATGTGGGAGGGACACTGAGTTTGCTGCCGCAAGTGGAATATACAGCGAGAAGCCCTAACTTGAAAGGAGGCCGGATTTCCTTGCAGTGGCGTGAATGCAGGCCTGTCTTTCATCTCACAACATGAAGAGATGTCTGAATCCCCTCTCGAGACCTTAGAGAAAGATCTAGGTCCCTGCCTCATTTTGACGGAATGCCTCTCATAAATTTGGCACCTCGAGAGGCAGGCGGAGTTCACTGCTTCAAAAGGTGACGATGCCTGACTCCTCTTGAACAATGTTAGGAATCCCAGAATCCCTGTGGCTCCTGAAGAGGGTCCTTGGGTGGCCTGCCTCACCTCGAGAAGCGTCTCTTTTGCAATGCCAATCCTCGAAGAGATTCCTGAGGTGTCCCCCGTTACTAGACAGATGTCCTGACGTCACTGAATAAACACATGTTTTAAAGGGGCATCCCCGCCGAAACTCGAGAATATACACCAGGTCCCCGCCTCAACTCGAGAAAAACCAGGAGACTGCCCCCTAGATGCGAGATTAGGCCCGATTCCCCTGCATTGCATGCAGAACAATTCCGTGATCATCATCAAACATGTAAGGACCTTCGACTAGATTAATGGATCTTGAGATAGTCCCCAAGAACACTGTCACAAGTCTAGACGGACCCTGAGGTCACCCCAGCAAAGCAAAGCAGGTGCATGTGCAGCAAATCAACTCGAGATGAGGCCCGATTCCCCTGCATTGATTCAAGAGCCATCCCCCTTTCCCCATTAAACACGACCAGTGGTTTGACTTCCTTCAGGCAACTCCAGAGATTCCCTGAGAACACTGTCCCAAGTCTAGAAGAACACCAACTTCTGCACAGCAACTCGAGGAATGCTCCTTGTACCCCTAATCGTCTTGACATGAGAGCTGATTCCCTGGCTTAGGCTCAAGACGTATGCCAACTTTCCAGAAACACCGAAAGAGGAGGCTTCTCTCAGCGATAGGTATGTGGGAAGGACCCCGAGTTTGCTGCCTCAAGTGGAATATACAGCGAGAAGCCCTAACTTGAAAGGAGGCCGGATTTCCTTGCAGTGGCTTGAATATAGGCTCGTCTTTCATCTCAAACATGAAGGGATGTCTGAATCCCCTGTCGAGACCTTAGCAGAGCTCTAGGTCACCGCCTCATTTGACGGAATGCCTCACATCCATATGGCAGCTCGAGAGGCAGGCGGAGTTCACTGCTTCAAAATGTCACGATGCCTGACTCCTCTTGAACAATGTTAGGAATCTCAAATCCCTGTGGCTCCTGAAAAGGGTCCTTGGGTGCCCTGCCTCACCTCGAGAAGCGTCCCTTTTGCCCTGCCAAGCCTCAAAATATTCCTGAGGTGTCCCTCATTACTAGACAGGAGTCCTGTTGTCACTGAATAAACACGTGTTTTGAAGGGCCATCCCCGCTGTACCTCGAGAACATGCCCCAGGTCGCCGGGGAAAATCGAGAAAAACCATGTGACTTCCCCCTAGAGGCGAGATTAGGCCCGATTCCCCTGCATTGCATCAGAGCCATTCCATGATCTCCATCAAACCTGTAAGGAGCTTCGACTTGGTTAATGGATCTCAAGACAGTCCCCAAGAACACTGTCACAAGTCTAGACGGACACTGAGGTCACCCCAGCAATGCAAAGCAACTCCACGTGCCCCAAATCAACTCGAGAAGAGGATTGATTCCCCTGCAATGACTCCAGAGCCATTCCCCGTTCCCCATTAAACACGACCATTGGCTCGACTTCCTTCAGGCAACTCCAGAGATTCCCCGAGAACACTGTCCCAAGTCTAGAAGAACACCAACTTCAGCACAGCAACTCGAGGAATGCTCTGTGTACCCCAAATTGTCTTGAGATGAGAGCTGATTCCCTGGCTTAGACTCAACACTTATGCCAACATTCCAGAAACACCGAAAGAGGAGGCTTCCTCAGCAATAGGTATGTGGGAGGGACCCCGAGTTTGCTGCCTCAAGTGGAATATACAGCGAGAAGCCCTAACTTGAAAGGAGGCCAGATTTCCTTGCAGTGGCTTGAATACAGGCTCATCTTTCATCTCACAACATGAAGGGATGTCTGAATCCCCTGTCGAGACCTTAAAGAAAGCTCTAGGTCCCTGCCTCATTGTGACGGAATGCCTCACATTCATTTGGCACCTCGAGAGGCAGGCAGAGTTCACTGCTTGAAAATGTCACGATGCCTGACTCCTCTTCAACAATGTTAGGAATCCCCAAATCCCTGTGGCTCCTGGAAAGTGTCCTTGGTTACCCTGCCTCACCTCGAGAAGCGTCCCTTTTGTAATGCCAAGCCTTGAAGAGATTCCTGAGGTGTCCCTCGTTACTAGACAGGAGTCCTGACGTCACTGAATAAACACATGTTTTCAAGGGCCATCCCTGCCGTAACTCAAGAACATACACCAGGTCCCCGCCGCAAGTCGAGAAAAACCAGGAGACATCCCCCTAGATGCGAGATGAGGCCCGATTCCCCTGCATTGCATGCAGAACAATTCCGTGACCATCATCAAACATGTAAGGAGCTTTCACTAGATGAATGGATCTCGAGACAGTCCCCAAGAACACTGTCACAAGTCTAGACGGACACTGACGTCACCCCAGCAAAGCAAAGCAGTTTCATGTGCAACAAATCAACTCGAGATGAGGCCCGATTCCCCTGCATTGCTTCCAGAGCCATCCCCCTTTCCCCATTAAACAGGACTAGTGGTTTGACTTCCTTCAGGCAACTCCAGAGATTGCCTGAGAACACTGTCGCAAGTCTAGAAGAACACCAACTTCAGCACAGGAACTCGAGGAATGCTCCATGTACCCCTAATTGTCTCGAGATGAGAGCTGATTCCCTGGCTTAGGCCCAAGACGTATGCCAACTTTCCAGAAACACCGAAAGAGGAGGCTTCTTTCAACAATAGTTATGTGGGAGAGACCCCGAGTTTGCTGCCTCAAATGGAATATACAGCGAGAAGCCCTAACTTGAAAGGAGGCCGGATTTCCTTGCAGTGGCGTGAATACAGGCTCGTCTATCATCTCACAACATGAAGGGATGTCTGAATCCCCTGTCGAGACGTTAGAGAAAGATCTAGGTCCCTGCCTCATTTTGACGGAATGCCTCACATCCCTTTGACATATCGAGAGGAACCCGGAGATCACTACTTCAAAGAGTGACGATGCAAGACTCCTCTTGAACATTGTTAGGAATCCCAGAATACATGTAACTATTGGAAAGGGACCTTGGGTGCCCTGCCTCACCTCGAGAAGCGTCCCTTTTTGCCCTGCCAAGCCTCAAAGAGATTCCTGAGGTGTCCCTCGTTACTAGACAGGAGTCCTGACGTCACTGAATAAACACGTGTTTTGAAGGGCCATCCCCACCGTAACTCAAGAACATACACCAGGTCCCCGCCGCAAGTCGAGAAAAACCAGGAGACATCCCCCTAGATGCGAGATGAGGCCCGATTCCCCTGCATTGCGTGCAGAACAATTCCGTGACCATCATCAAACATGTAAGGAGCTTCCACTAGATGAATGGATCTCGAGACAGTCACCAAGAACACTGTCACAAGTCTAGACGGACACTGACGTCACCCCAGCAAAGCAAAGCAGTTTCATGTGCAACAAATCAACTCGAGATGAGGCCCGATTCCCATGCATTGCTTCCAGAGCCATCCCCCTTTCCCCATTAAACAGGACTAGTGGTTTGACTTCCTTCAGGCAACTCCAGAGATTGCCTGAGAACACTGTCGCAAGTCTAGAAGAACACCAACTTCAGCACAGGAACTCGAGGAATGCTCCATGTACCCCTAATTGTCTCGAGATGAGAGCTGATTCCCTGGCTTAGGCCCAAGACGTATGCCAACTTTCCAAAAACACCGAAAGAGGAGGCTTCTTTCAACAATAGTTATGTGGGAGGGACCCCGAATTTGCTGCCTCAAATAGAATATACAGTGAGAAGCCCTAACTTGAAAGGAGGCCGGATTTCCTTGCAGTGGTGTGAATACAGGCTCGTCTTTCATGTCACAACAGGAAGGGATGTCTGAATCCCCTGTCGAGACGTTAGAGAAAGATCTAGGTCCCTGCCTCATTTTGACGGAATGCCTCACATCCCTTTGACACATCGAGAGGCACTCGGAGATCACTACTTCAAAGGGTGACGATGCATGACTCCTCTTGAACATTGTTAGGAATCCCCAAATCCCTGTGACTACTGGAAAGGGTCCTTGGGTGCCCTGCCTTACCTCGAGAAGCGTTCTTTTTACCCTGCCAAGCCTCAAAGAGATTCCTGACGTGTCCCTCGTTACTGACAGGAGACGTGACATCACTATATAAACACGTGTTTTGAAGGGCCATCCCCGCCTTAACTCGAGAAGATACCCCAGGTCGCCACCGAAAATCGAGCAAAACCATGTGACTTCCCCCTAGAAGTTGGATGAGGCCCGATTCCGCTGCATTTAATGCAGAGCGATTCTGTGATCTCCATCAAACATGTAAGGAGCTTCGACTTGGTTAATGGATCTCAAGACAGTCCCCAAGAACACTGTCACAAGTCTAGACGGTCACTGAGGTCACCCCAGCAACGCAAAGCAGCTCTATGTGCCCCAAATCAACTCGAGATGAGGCCAGATTCCCCTGCATTGACTCCAGAGCCTTCCCCCATCCCCATTAAATAAGACCAGTGGCTCGACTTCCTTCACACAATTCCAGAGATTCCCCAAGGACACTGTCCCAAGTCTAGAAGAACACCAACTTCAGCACAGCAACTCGAGGAATGGTCCGTGTACCCCAGATCGTCTCGAGATGAGAGCAGATTCCCTAGCTTAGACTCAACACTTATGCCATCTTTCCAGACAAACCGAAAGTGTAGGCTTCCTCAGCAATAGGTATGTGGGAGGGACACCGAGTTTGCTGCCGCAAGTGGAATATACAGCGAGAAGCCCTAACTTGAAAGGAGGCCGGATTTCCTTGCAGTGGCGTGAATGCAGGCCTGTCTTTCATCTCACAACATGAAGAGATGTCTGAATCCCCTCTCGAGACCTTAGAGAAAGATCTAGGTCCCTGCCTCATTTTGACGGAATGCCTCTCATAAATTTGGCACCTCGAGAGGCAGGCGGAGTTCACTGCTTCAAAAGGTGACGATGCCTGACTCCTCTTGAACAATGTTAGGAATCCCAGAATCCCTGTGGCTCCTGGAAAGGGTCCTTGGGTGGCCTGCCTCTCCTCGAGAAGCATCTCTTTTGCAATGCCAAGCCTCGAAGAGATTCCTGAGGTGTCCCCCGTTACTAGACAGATGTCCTGACGTCACTGAATAAACACATGTTTTAAAGGGGCATCCCCGCCGAAACTCGAGAATATACACCAGGTCCCCGCCTCAACTCGAGAAAAACCAGGAGACTGCCCCCTAGATGCGAGATTAGGCCCGATTCCCCTGCATTGCATGCAGAACAATTCCGTGATCATCATCAAACATGTAAGGACCTTCGACTCGATTAATGGATCTTGAGATAGTCCCCAAGAACACTGTCACAAGTCTAGACGGACCCTGAGGTCACCCCAGCAAAGAAAAGCAGCTGCATGTGCAGCAAATCAACTCGAGATGAGGCCCGATTCCCCTGCATTGATTCAAGAGCCATCCCCCTTTCCCCATTAAACACGACCAGTGGTTTGACTTCCTTCAGGCAACTCCAGAGATTCCCTGAGAACACTGTCCCAAGTCTAGAAGAACACCAACTTCTGCACAGCAACTCGAGGAATGCTCCTTGTACCCCTAATCGTCTTGACATGAGAGCTGATTCCCTGGCTTAGGCTCAAGACGTATGCCAACTTTCCAGAAACACCGAAAGAGGAGGCTTCTCTCAGCAATAGGTATGTGGGAGGAACCCCGAGTTTGCTGCCTCAAATTGAATATACAGCGAGAAGCCCTAACTTGAAAGGAGGCCGGATTTCCTTGCAGTGGCGTGAATACAGGCTCGTCTATCATCTCACAACATGAAGGGATGTCTGATACCCTGTCGAGACGTTAGAGAAAGATCTAGGTCCCCGCCTCATTTTGACGGAATGCCTCAGATCCCTTTGACACATCGAGAGGAACCCGGAGATCACTACTTCAAAGGGTGATGATGCAAGACTCCTCTTGAACATTGTTAGGAATCCCAAAATACATGTAACTATTGGAAAGGGACCTTGGGTGCCCTGCCCCACTTCGAGAAGCGTCCCTTTTTGCCCTGCCAAGCCTCAAAGAGATTTCTGATGTGTCCCTCGTTACTAGACAGGAGTCGTGACATCACTATATAAACACGTGTTTTGAAGGGCCATTCCCGCTGAAACTCGAGAACATTCCCCAGGTCGCCGCCGAAAATCGAGAAAAACCATGTGACTTCCCCCTAGAGGCGAGATGAGGCCCGATTCCCCTGCATTGCATGCAGAGCCATTCTGTGATCTCCATCAAACATGTAAGGAGCTTCGACTTGGTTTTTGGATCTCAAGACAGTCCCCAAGAACACTGTCACAAGTCTAGACGGGCCCTGAGGTCACGCCAGCAATGCAAAGCAGCTCCATGTGCCCCAAATCAACTCGAGATGAGGTCAGATTCCCCTTCATTGACTCCAGAGCCAACCCCCGTTACACATTAAATACGGCCAGTGGCTCGACTTCCTTCACACAATTCCAGATATTCCCCAAGGACACTGTCCCAGCTCTAGAAGAACACGAACTTCAGCACAGCAACTCGATGAATGTTCCGTGTACCCCTAATCGTCTCGAGATGAGAGCTGATTCCCCGGCTTAGACTCAAAACTTATGCCAACTTTCCAGAGACAGCGAGAGAGGAGGCTTCCTCAGCAATAGGTATGTGGGAGGGACCCCGAGTTTGCTGCCTCAAGTGGAATATACAGCGAGAAGCCCTAACTTGAAAGGAGGCCGGATTTCCTTGCAGTGGCTTGAATACAGGCTCGTCTTTCATCTCAAACATGAAGGGATGTCTGAATCCCCTGTCGAGACCTTAGCAGAGCTCTAGGTCCCTGCCTCATTGACGGAATGCCTCACATCCATATGGCAGCTCGAGAGGCAGGCGGAGTTCACTGCCTCAAAATGTCACGATGCCTAACTCCTCTTGAAAAATGTTATGAATCTCAAATCCCTGTGGCTCCTGAAAAGGGTCCTTGGGTGCCCTGCCTCACCTCGAGAAGCGTCCCTTTTGCCCTGCCAAGCCTCAAAATATTCCTGAGGTGTCCCTCATTACTAGACAGGAGTCCTGTTGTCACTGAATAAACACGTGTTTTGAAGGGCCATCCCCGCTGTACCTCCAGAACATACCCCAGGTCGCCGCGGAAAATCGAGAAAAACCATGTGACTTCCCCCTAGAGGCGAGATGAGGCCCGATTCCCCTGCATTGCATCAGAGCCATTCCATGATCTCCATCAAACCTGTAAGGAGCTTCGACTTAGTTAATGGATCTCAAGACAGTCCCCAAGAACACTGTCACAAGTCTAGACGGACCCTGAGGTCACCCCAGCAATGAAAAGCAGCTCCACGTGCCCCAAATCAACTCGAGAAGAGGATTGATTCACCTGCAATGATTCCAGAGCCATTCCCCATTCCCCATTAAACACGACTATTGGCTCGACTTCCTTCAGGCAACTCCAGAGATTCCCCGAGAACACTGTCCCAAGTCTAGAAGAACACCAACTTCAGCACAGCAACTCGAGGAATGCTCCGTGTACCCCAAATTGTCTCGAGATGAGAGCTGATTCCCTGGCTTAGACTCAACACTTATGCCAACATTCCAGAAACACCGAAAGAGGAGGCTTCCTCAGCAATAGGTATGTGGGGGGGACCCCGAGTTTGCTGCCTCAAGTGGAATATACAGCGAGAAGCCTTAACTTGAAAGGAGGCCAGATTTCCTTGCAGTGGCTTCAATACAGGCTCCTCTTTCATCTCACAACATGAAGGGATGTCTGAATCCCCTGTCGAGACCTTAAAGAAAGCTCTAGGTCCCTGCCTCATTGTGACGGAATGCCTCACATTCATTTGGCACCTCGAGAGGCAGGCAGAGTTCACTGCTTGAAAATGTCACGATGCCTGACTCCTCTTGAACAATGTTAGGAATCCCCAAATCCCTGTGGCTCCTGGAAAGTGTCCTTGGTTACCCTGCCTCACCTCGAGAAGCGTCCCTTTTGTAATGCCAAGCCTTGAAGAGATTCCTGAGGTGTCCCTCGTTACTAGACAGGAGTCCTGACGTCACTGAATAAACACGTGTTTTGAAGGGCCATCGCCGCCATAACTCAAGAACATACACCAGGTCCCCGCCGCAAGTCGAGAAAAACCAGGAGACTTCCCCCTAGATGCGAGATGAAGCCCGATTCCCCTGCATTGCATGCAGAACAATTCCGTGACCATCATCAAACATGTAAGGAGCTTTCACTAGATGAATGGATCTCGAGACAGTCACCAAGAACACTGTCACAAGTCTAGACGGACACTGACGTCACCCCAGCAAAGCAAAGCAGTTTCATGTGCAACAAATCAACTCGAGATGAGGCCCGATTCCCCTGCCTTGCTTCCAGAGCCATCCCCCTTTCCCCATTAAACAGGACTAGTGGTTTGACTTCCTTCAGGCAACTCCAGAGATTGCCTGAGAACACTGTCACAAGACTAGAAGAACACCAACTTCAGCACAGGAACTCGAGGAATGCTCTATGTACCCCTAATTGTCTCGAGATGAGAGCTGATTCCCTGGCTTAGGCCCAAGACGTATGCCAACTTTCCAGAAACACCGAAAGAGGAGGCTTCTTTCAACAATAGTTATGTGGGAGGGACCCCGAGTTTGCTGCCTCAAATGGAATATACAGTGAGAAGCCCTAACTTGAAAGGAGGCCGGATTTCCTTGCAGTGGTGTGAATACAGGCTCGTCTTTCATGTCACAACATGAAGGGATGTCTGAATCCCCTGTCGAGACCTTAAAGAAAGCTCTAGGTCCCTGCCTCATTGTGACGGAATGCCTCACATTCATTTGGCACCCCGAGAGGCAGGCAGAGTTCACTGCTTGAAAATGTCACGATGCCTGACTCCTCTTGAACAATGTTAGGAATCCCAAAATCCCTGTGGCTCCTGGAAAGTGTCCTTGGTTACCCTGCCTCACCTCGAGAAGCGTCCCTTTTGTAATGCCAAGCCTTGAAGAGATTCCTGAGGTGTCCCTCGTTACTAGACAGGAGTCCTGACGTCACTGAATAAACACATGTTTTCAAGGGCCATCCCTGCCGTAACTCAAGAACATACACCAGGTCCCCGCCGCAAGTCGAGAAAAACCAGGAGACATCCCCCTAGATGCGAGATGAGGCCCGATTCCCCTGCATTGCATGCAGAACAATTCCGTGACCATCATCAAACATGTAAGGAGCTTTCACTAGATGAATGGATCTCGAGACAGTCCCCAAGAACACTGTCACAAGTCTAGACGGACACTGACGTCACCCCAGCAAAGCAAAGCAGTTTCATGTGCAACAAATCAATTCGAGATGAGGCCCGATTCCCCTGCATTGCTTCCAGAGCCATCCCCCTTTCCCCATTAAACAGGACTAGTGGTTTGACTTCCTTCAGGCAACTCCAGAGATTGCCTGAGAACATTGTCGCAAGTCTAGAAGAACACCAACTTCAGCACAGGAACTCGAGGAATGCTCCATGTACCCCTAATTGTCTCGAGATGAGAGCTGATTCCCTGGCTTAGGCCCAAGACGTATGCCAACTTTCCAGAAACACCGAAAGAGGAGGCTTCTTTCAACAATAGTTATGTGGGAGGGACCCCGAGTTTGCTGCCTCAAATGGAATATACAGTGAGAAGCCCTAACTTGAAAGGAGGCCGGATTTCCTTGCAGTGGTGTGAATACAGGCTCGTCTTTCATGTCACAACATGAAGGGATGTCTGAATCTCCTGTCGAGACGTTAGAGAAAGATCTAGGTCCCTACCTCATTTTGACGGAATGCCTCACATCCCTTTGACACATCGAGAGGCACTCGGAAATCACTACTTCAAAGTGTGACGATGCATGACTCCTCTTGAACATTGTTAGGAATCCCCAAATCCCTGTGACTACTGGAAAGGGTCCTTGGGTGCCCTGCTTACCTCGGGAAGTGTTCGTTTTACCCTCCCAAGCCTCAAAGAGATTCCTGTCGTGTCCCTCGTTACTGGACAGGAGACGTGACATCACTATATACACACGTGTTTTGAAGTGCCATCCCCGCCGTAACTCGAGAACATACCCCAGGTCGCCACCGAAAATCGAGAAAAACCATGTGACTTCCCCCTAGAGGTTGGCTGAGGCCCGATTCCGCTGCATTTAATGCAGAGCGATTCTGTGATCTCCATCAAACATGTAAGGAGCTTCGACTTGGTTAATAGATCTCAAGACAGTCCCCAAGAACACTGTCACAAGTCTAGACGGACCCTGAGGTCACCCCAGCAACGCAAAGCAGCTCTATGTGCCCCAAATCAACTCGAGATGAGGCCAGATTCCCCTGCATTGACTCCAGAGCCTTCCCCCATCCCCATTAAATAAGACCAGTGGCTCGACTTCCTTCACACAATTCCAGAGATTCCCCAAGGACACTGTCCCAAGTCTAGAAGAACACCAACTTCAGCACAGCAACTCGAGGAATGGTCCGTGTACCCCAGATCGTCTCGAGATGAGAGCAGATTCCCTAGCTTAGACTCAACACTTATGCCATCTTTCCAGACAAACCGAAAGAGTAGGCTTCCTCAGCAATAGGTATGTGGGAGGGACACTGAGTTTGCTGCCGCAAGTGGAATATACAGCGAGAAGCCCTAACTTGAAAGGAGGCCGGATTTCCTTGCAGTGGCGTGAATGCAGGCCTGTCTTTCATCTCACAACATGAAGAGATGTCTGAATCCCCTCTCGAGACCTTAGAGAAAGATCTAGGTCCCTGCCTCATTTTGACGGAATGCCTCTCATAAATTTGGCACCTCGAGAGGCAGGCGGAGTTCACTGCTTCAAAAGGTGACGATGCCTGACTCCTCTTGAACAATGTTAGGAATCCCAGAATCCCTGTGGCTCCTGAAGAGGGTCCTTGGGTGGCCTGCCTCACCTCGAGAAGCGTCTCTTTTGCAATGCCAATCCTCGAAGAGATTCCTGAGGTGTCCCCCGTTACTAGACAGATGTCCTGACGTCACTGAATAAACACATGTTTTAAAGGGGCATCCCCGCCGAAACTCGAGAATATACACCAGGTCCCCGCCTCAACTCGAGAAAAACCAGGAGACTGCCCCCTAGATGCGAGATTAGGCCCGATTCCCCTGCATTGCATGCAGAACAATTCCGTGATCATCATCAAACATGTAAGGACCTTCGACTAGATTAATGGATCTTGAGATAGTCCCCAAGAACACTGTCACAAGTCTAGACGGACCCTGAGGTCACCCCAGCAAAGCAAAGCAGGTGCATGTGCAGCAAATCAACTCGAGATGAGGCCCGATTCCCCTGCATTGATTCAAGAGCCATCCCCCTTTCCCCATTAAACACGACCAGTGGTTTGACTTCCTTCAGGCAACTCCAGAGATTCCCTGAGAACACTGTCCCAAGTCTAGAAGAACACCAACTTCTGCACAGCAACTCGAGGAATGCTCCTTGTACCCCTAATCGTCTTGACATGAGAGCTGATTCCCTGGCTTAGGCTCAAGACGTATGCCAACTTTCCAGAAACACCGAAAGAGGAGGCTTCTCTCAGCGATAGGTATGTGGGAAGGACCCCGAGTTTGCTGCCTCAAGTGGAATATACAGCGAGAAGCCCTAACTTGAAAGGAGGCCGGATTTCCTTGCAGTGGCTTGAATATAGGCTCGTCTTTCATCTCAAACATGAAGGGATGTCTGAATCCCCTGTCGAGACCTTAGCAGAGCTCTAGGTCACCGCCTCATTTGACGGAATGCCTCACATCCATATGGCAGCTCGAGAGGCAGGCGGAGTTCACTGCTTCAAAATGTCACGATGCCTGACTCCTCTTGAACAATGTTAGGAATCTCAAATCCCTGTGGCTCCTGAAAAGGGTCCTTGGGTGCCCTGCCTCACCTCGAGAAGCGTCCCTTTTGCCCTGCCAAGCCTCAAAATATTCCTGAGGTGTCCCTCATTACTAGACAGGAGTCCTGTTGTCACTGAATAAACACGTGTTTTGAAGGGCCATCCCCGCTGTACCTCGAGAACATGCCCCAGGTCGCCGGGGAAAATCGAGAAAAACCATGTGACTTCCCCCTAGAGGCGAGATTAGGCCCGATTCCCCTGCATTGCATCAGAGCCATTCCATGATCTCCATCAAACCTGTAAGGAGCTTCGACTTGGTTAATGGATCTCAAGACAGTCCCCAAGAACACTGTCACAAGTCTAGACGGACACTGAGGTCACCCCAGCAATGCAAAGCAGCTCCACGTGCCCCAAATCAACTCGAGAAGAGGATTGATTCCCCTGCAATGACTCCAGAGCCATTCCCCGTTCCCCATTAAACACGACCATTGGCTCGACTTCCTTCAGGCAACTCCAGAGATTCCCCGAGAACACTGTCCCAAGTCTAGAAGAACACCAACTTCAGCACAGCAACTCGAGGAATGCTCCGTGTACCACAAACCGTCTCGAGATGAGAGCTGATTCCCTGGCTTAGACTCAAAACTTATGCCAACATTCCAGAAACACCGAAAGAGGAGGCTTCCTCAGCAATAGGTATGTGGGAGGGACCCCGAGTTTGCTACCTCAAGTGGAATATACAGCGAGAAGCCCTAACTTGAAAGGAGGCCGGATTTCCTTGCAGTGGCTTGAATACAGGCTCGTCTTTCATCTCAAAGATGAAGGGATGTCTGAATCCCCTGTCGAGACCTTAGCAGAGCTCTAGGTCCCAGCCTCATTTGACGGAATGCCTCACATCCATATGGCAGCTCGAGAGGCATGCGGAGTTCACTGCCTCAAAATGTCACGATGCCTGACTCCTCTTGAAAAATGTTATGAATCTCAAATCCCTGTGGCTCCTGAAAAGGGTCCTTGGGTGCCCTGCCTCACCTCGAGAAGCGTCCCTTTTGCCCTGCCAAGCCTCAAAATATTCCTGAGGTGTCCCTCATTACTAGACAGGAGTCCTGTTGTCACTGATTAAACACGTGTTCTGAAGGGCCATCCCCGCTGTACCTCGAGAACATACCCCAGGTAGCCGCGGAAAATCGAGAAAAACCATGTGACTTCCCCCTAGACGCGAGATGAGGCCCGATTCACCTGCATTGCATCAGAGCCATTCCATGATCTCCATCGAAACTGTAAGGAGCTTCGACTTGGTTAATGGATGTCAAGACAGTCCCCAAGAACACTGTCACAAGTCTAGACGGACCGTGAGGTCACCCCAGCAATGCAAAGCAGCACCACGTGCCCCAAATCAACTCGAGAAGAGGATTGATTCCCCTGCAATGGCTCCAGAGCCATTCCCCGTTCCCCATTAAACACGACCATTGGCTTGACTTCCTTCAGGCAACTCCAGAGATTCCCCGAGAACACTGTCCCAAGTCTAGAAGAACACGAACTTCAGCACAGCAACTCGAGGAATGTTCCGTGTACCCCTAATCGTCTCGAGATGAGAGCTGATTCCCCGGCTTAGACTCAAAACTTATGCCAACTTTCCAGAGACAGCGAGAGAGGAGGCTTCCTCAGCAATAGGTATGTGGGAGGGACCCCGAGTTTGCTGCCTCAAGTGGAATATACAGCGAGAAGCCCTAACTTGAAAGGAGGCCGGATTTCCTTGCAGTGGCTTGAATACAGGCTCGTCTTTCATCTCAAACATGAAGGGATGTCTGAATCCCCTGTCGAGACCTTAGCAGAGCTCTAGGTCCCTGCCTCATTGACGGAATGCCTCACATCCATATGGCAGCTCGAGAGGCAGGCGGAGTTCACTGCCTCAAAATGTCACGATGCCTGACTCCTCTTGAAAAATGTTATGAATCTCAAATCCCTGTGGCTCCTGAAAAGGGTCCTTGGGTGCCCTGCCTCACCTTGAGAAGCGTCCCTTTTGCCCTGCCAAGCCTCAAAATATTCCTGAGGTGTCCCTCATTACTAGACAGGAGTCCTGTTGTCACTGAATAAACACGTGTTTTGAAGGGCCATCCCCGCTGTACCTCGAGAACATACCCCAGGTCGCCGCGGAAAATCGAGAAAAACCATGTGACTTCCCCCTAGAGGCGAGATGAGGCCCAATTCCCCTGCATTGCATCAGAGCCATTCCATGATCTCCATCAAACCTGTAAGGAGCTTCGACTTAGTTAATGGATCTCAAGACAGTCCCCAAGAACACTGTCACAAGTCTAGACGGACCCTGAGGTCACCCCAGCAATGCAAAGCAGCTCCACGTGCCCCAAATCAACTCGAGAAGAGGATTGATTCACCTGCAATGATTCCAGAGCCATTCCCCATTCCCCATTAAACACGACCATTGGCTCGACTTCCTTCAGGCAACTCCAGAGATTCCCCGAGAACACTGTCCCAAGTCTAGAAGAACACCAACTTCAGCACAGCAACTCGAGGAATGCTCCGTGTACCCCAAATTGTCTCGAGATGAGAGCTGATTCCCTGGCTTAGACTCAACACTTATGCCAACATTCCAGAAACACCGAAAGAGGAGGCTTCCTCAGCAATAGGTATGTGGGAGGGACCCCGAGTTTGCTGCCTCAAGTGGAATATACAGCGAGAAGCCCTAACTTGAAAGGAGGCCAGATTTCCTTGCAGTGGCTTGAATACAGGCTCGTCTTTCATCTCACAACATGAAGGGATGTCTGAATCCCCTGTCGAGACCTTAAAGAAAGCTCTAGGTCCCTGCCTCATTGTGACGGAATGCCTCACATTCATTTGGCACCCCGAGAGGCAGGCAGAGTTCACTGCTTCAAAATGTCACGATGCCTGACTCCTCTTGAACAATGTTGGGAATCCCAAAATCCTTGTGGCTCCTGGAAAGTGTCCTTGGTTACCCTGCCTCACCTCGAGAAGCGTCCCTTTTGTAATGCCAAGCCTTGAAGAGATTCCTGAGGTGTCCCTCGTTACTAGACAGGAGTCCTGACGTCACTGAATAAACACATGTTTTCAAGGGCCATCCCTGCCGTAACTCAAGAACATACACCAGGTCCCCGCCGCAAGTCGAGAAAAACCAGGAGACATCCCCCTAGATGCGAGATGAGGCCCGATTCCCCTGCATTTCATGCAGAACAATTCCGTGACCATCATCAAACATGTAAGGAGCTTTCACTAGATGAATGGATCTCGAGACAGTCCCCAAGAACACTGTCACAAGTCTAGACGGACACTGACGTCACCCCAGCAAAGCAAAGCAGTTTCATGTGCAACAAATCAACTCGAGATGAGGCCCGATTCCCCTGCATTGCTTCCAGAGCCATCCCCCTTTCCCCATTAAACAGGACTAGTGGTTTGACTTCCTTCAGGCAACTCCAGAGATTGCCTGAGAACATTGTCGCAAGTCTAAAAGAACACCAACTTCAGCACAGGAACTCGAGGAATGCTCCATGTACCCCTAATTGTCTTGAGATGAGAGCTGATTCCCTGGCTTAGGCCCAAGACGTATGCCAACTTTCCAGAAACACCGAAAGAGGAGGCTTCTTTCAACAATAGTTATGTGGGAGGGACCCCGAGTTTGCTGCCTCAAATGGAATATACAGTGAGAAGCCCTAACTTGAAAGGAGGCCGGATTTCCTTGCAGTGGTGTGAATACAGGATCGTCTTTCATGTCACAACATGAAGGGATGTCTGAATCCCCTGTTGAGACGTTAGAGAAAGATCTAGGTCCCTGCCTCATTTTGACGGAATGCCTCACATCCCTTTGACACATCGAGAGGCACTCGCAGATCACTACTTCAAAGCGTGACGATGCACGACTCCTCTTGAACATTGTTAGGAATCCCCAAATCCCTGTGACTACTGGAAAGGGTCCTTGGGTGCCCTGCCTTACCTCGGGAAGCGTTCGTTTTACCCTGCCAAGCCTCAAAGAGATTCCTGACGTGTCCCTCGTTACTGGACAGGAGACGTGACATCACTATATAAACACGTGTTTTGAAGGGCCATCCCCGCTGAAACTCGAGAACATACCCCAGGTCGCCACCGAAAATCGAGAAAAACCATGTGACTTCCCCCTAGAGGTTGGATGAGCCCCGATTCCGCTGCAATGCATGCAGAGCGATTCTGTGATCTCCATCAAACATGTAAGGAGCTTCGACTTGGTTAATGGATCTCAAGACAGTTCCCAAGAACACTGTCACAAGTCTAGACGGACCCTGAGGTCACCCCAGCAACGCAAAGCAGCTCCATGTGCCCCAAATCAACTCGAGATGAGGCCAGATTCCCCTGCATTGACTCCAGAGCCTTCCCCCATTCCCCATTAAATAAGACCAGTGGCTCGACTTCTTTCACACAATTCCAGAGATTTCCCAAGTACACTGTCCCAAGTCTAGAAGAACACCAACTTTAGCACAGCAACTCGAGGAATGGTCCGTGTACCCCAGATCGTCTCGAGATGAGAGCAGATTCCCTAGCTTAGACTCAACACTTATGCCATCTTTGCAGACACACCAAAAGAGTAGGCTTCCTCAGCAATAGGTATGTGGCAGGGACCCCGAGTTTGCTGCCTCAATTGGAATATACAGCGAGAAGCCCTAACTTGAAAGGAGGCCGGATTTCCTTGCAGTGGCTTGAATACAGGCTCGTCTTTC